TCTATTTTGGTACCTTTCTGTGCACACTCTTATTTTTTTGTTTCAACGTGGAGCTACAATGTAATCTTTTTGAGTACTTTTAATCAACAGTTTAAACTCAGCGCTGTACTACCAACAACGCACTGTACTTGACTGAAAGGATGGCACTCTGAGCAGTCGAGACCAGCTTTGAGCGTGTGCGAGCAGTGACCACTGCATCACGGCGGCCGCCTGCCAGTAGCAACAATGAGGTTTCATCTAAGCTGCATCCTGATTTTAGCTCTGCTAAAATGTGGAAAATATGAGTCTTAGAATTAATGAGAGTTTGGATTTCAAAGACCATCTTTTAAATTGCTGATTGAAATGTCAAGTTATTGGGGATTAGGATTAACAGCATTACAGTTGAGAAGAAATAGTCACGCATTTGCATTAAAATGGAAGAAACATTCATTTATATATTACTTAACAAAACCCCTTACTTCAGCTCTGAACTTTAAAGTGTAACTTATGGTTTGGAGAGTTAGGCTCACTTATCAATTTGATTTGTTTATACAAGCTGTTATTAGAACTCTGATCTGTCAGTTCGTATTGTATTAAATGCCCACGCCCACACCACACAATTTCTTTGGTGATTGTTTTAAAATGCTCTTACTTGTTTCAACAAGATTTTATTGCTTGTAAGTACCCACTGTCACCTCCAAATTAAAACACAGTTTTAATACTCTGTTTCATAAGTGTAACAATACGGAGGAATGTGAAGAAACTTAATGGTAACATTTATGCACTGGTACACGTGACATGGATTTCTCATTGGGATTGTTGGATCAAAGTATGTAGGAGTTTTAAATTTTTTTGTGTGTGTGTGTGAGGAAGATCAGCCCTGAGCTAAAATCCATGATAATCTTCCTCTTTTTGCTGAGGAAGACTGGCCCTGGGCTAACATCCGTGCCCATCTTCCTCTGCTTTATATGGGACGCCGCCACAGCATGGCCTGACAAGCGGTACGTCGGTGTGTGCCCGGGATCTGAACCCTGGGCCGCCAGCAGCAGAGCGCGTGCACTTGACCGCTACGCCATGGGGCTGGCCCAGGAGTTTTAAATTTTGATATACTGTCAGTTAGTTTTCCAAAAAGCTAGTGCAGATTCACGCTTAACGGCGATGTATAAGGGTGCTCCTTGTCTTGTTTTTTGGCCAGTTTAATGGGCAAGTAATGTTTTACCACATAATCTTATGCTTTACCTCATCTTGTTCTCTAATAGGTCCATGTGCTCTTTGTTACTGTTCTCCCCTCCCCTGCTCCACAATGTTGTAAGATCCCTAAGTTCTAGTTTCAGACAATTGTGAATTTGGGAGTAATCTTTATAAAGGGAATAATAATAACCTGTCTTCCCCCCTGCCCATTATCATTTGTTTTGTGTTTATTGCATGTCTTATTTTTCCATTGAGACACATGAAACAGAGGCTCTATTATACAGGCAATTCTTACTTTCCCGTATTAGTATCTCTGGAGGTACTAAAGTAAAATCTTACATATAATTTCTCATCTTTAATCCCTCTTGGTCAGCAGCTGCTCTATAAGGCTTGTGAAAAGTGAGCCTCTTTCCTTCCCAATGTTGGACCGCCACCTAGTGGTGACAGCGTGCAGCAGCAGCTATATGCAAGGTATTATTTGTGTAGGCCGGACTTGCACAGATGGAATATTATTACAACTGCCTTATTTTAGTGTAGAAGTTGAAACCAAAACAGGTGAAGGAACTTACAAAATAGTTGATGTTGAATTAACTGTCATTTAAGGACAAGTTAAAACTGACTCTTGAGTTCTGTGTTCTTTTAATTTGGTTTTGTTTGTTTTTTGTATTTTGGGGTAAAGTATATCTCCTACTGTTCCTAATATAGTAGTGAACATGGAATATATGCTCACTTAATGCTTATCGATGAGTTAGTTTGATAAAATAATTTAAAATTTGCTGCTACTTATGCTGTATCACTGGCTAGTACTTTTCCTCAGCAGGGCCAAGATGTGGAGGAGATAACAAAATAAACGTGATCAACTGTAGCTTACTAGAAATGTGCTTGTTAAAAGAGCCTTCAGAATGACTGCTCGGTCTTGCCTGGGGTGAAATAACTTGATTAAGAGTGAGATCCAAACACAGAGATGGTCTGATAGAGCACCATGAAGTGCTTTGGAGGTTCCTGCAAGTTCAGACCCATGCCTGGCTGTGTTGTAGAATTAGGAGTTTATTACAGACGCTCAGCCTTCCTTCTTCCTTTCCTTTCTTTCTTCAGCTATTTTAAAATATTACATGTAGATGGCATTCAACAAGCACTCAAGTTTCTCCCTCCCTGCCCCCCGAACACACTGTCACTGTTGGTAGCCACTGTCACCAGTTTGTTAATATATTCGGCTTTTGATTGTCTCAGGGATAGGTGTCAGTTTTCTTTCTAGGCCTTTTTGGTTCTGCCAGTGTTGAATATTCAGCCTGTAGGACTGGTCTTATTACAGTGGTCCTGTCTACTATTTCCTGTCACCTGCTGCAGCATTTTTCATAATAGATGGTGAGATTTTGAAATCAATCTAGCAGTTACAACACTTTCATAACTCAGTCCTTGAATATGGAGTTTTGAAAAGTCACATACATGAGGAATATTTAAGGGGAAGTATGAAAGTTATAAGATCAAAGTAACTTAGATAAATGAAAGGAAATCTCTTATTCATATAAGTAGACATATAAAAAATGCAAACTGTTTATTATGTTGTATATAAATTATTTTTAACACAATTCCTTTCTTATAGAGAAAATAAAACATAGATATAATTTCTCAGTGTAAAGGTACCGTTTCTCATTTTTTACTGATTAAGTATTATACTATTGACTGTAATACTCAAAGCCACTGTTTTGTCTAATGATGATGACAGTCCTACCACATGGAGTTTTCTCTGAATAAGAGGGTTGATTTCTTCCTTTAAATAATGTGTATAATAAAAGTGATAACATTGTTTGCAAGTGTGCTATAGTGCAGGCTAAGTTATAACTTAATTTTCTTAATATTGATCCTAAGACAAGTAATTACATTATCTTTCCTAATTATAACTTATTTTGTTATATCTATCATATTGTTGTAACATACAAAAAGGTATAATTATACAAAGACTGCACTTTACAAATGTAAATACAGTCTTGGTTTGGTGTATATTGGATACAATGGTCTTCCTTAAGCCTAAACACAGAAACAAAAGCATGTATTATAAGAGAAAGTTTAAGATGGGAAGTGATAAAATGGGTATTCAGTAGAGCTTTGTTAAAATTTAGCTGGGATCCTTGTAAAATTTCCACGTATTCATTAAATTATATTATGTCATTCTTATTGTTAGGAGCTGACTTGAAGTGTTAAGTTTTGCCCTCAAAGAGTTGTCACAATTTAGTTACTGTAGTTGGGAGACTGAGATTTTTTAAAAAATTGTTTTTACACAAATATTTGTGTAGATATTAATTTGAAGTTGTTCAGTGAGTAGAGCTGGGATTTTACATGTATTAGGGCACATTTTATTTCGGTTGTAAAGGTAGAAGTGCTTTTGAATTGCAGAAGGTCATCTTAGTTGCTGTGGATGCTGCAGATTTGACAGTGAAGTGATATTCAGAATTCTGGCTGTGCTGTCTGTACTTCAGGATCTTTAAAACACCCTTCCCTGAGTGGTCCTTCAAGATGGCTTTATGAAGTCTTTATTTAACATGGTTCGGTATGCTTAATTCTCAGGAAAAAATTCACAGCTACAAAACAAAGTGGGGTGATTCTTTCTTTCCTTCAAGAATACAAGGTGGCCCAAAGTCTTAGTGCAGTTTTAATTTTTAGAACTCCAGAAGTATATATTACTTAAAAAAAAAATTATTTGAGAATTTCTTTTATACTTAGTTTGTGAGTTTTGAGTAATACATTTTTTTATTTTATTTTTTTTTTTATTTTTCCCCCAAAGCCCCAGTAGATAGTTGTATGTCATGGTTGCACATCCTTCTAGTTGCTGTATGTGGGACACGGCCCCAGCATGGCCAGAGAAGCGGTGCCTCGGTGCGCGCCCGGGATCCGAACCTGGGCCTTCAGCAGCGGAGCGCGAGCACTTAACCGCTAAGCCACGGGGCCGGCCCTTGAGTAATACATTTTTAATTTCAATTTTCTACTTCAGTCTCGCTTAAGGTGGCAAATACTAAAGTAAAAAGTTAAATTAAAAATGTATTATTCAAAATTGCTTTGCTTGAAGTTTTGCTTGAGTTACAGATCACTCTCTAATCACCTTGTGAAATTACCTACTTTGGAATTTGAGGCACATATGTAGAATATCCTTGAAGGAAACCCTCCACACATACTGTTATAATGCTATTGTTAGAGCTCATGAGAAAGTTAGGTTTGAAGCAAAGATGGCTTAGAGGTTTGGGGATTTCTGTGCCTGTTGAGGCCAACTCATCTTGTTTTAGGAAATGAGATCTGACTAACTCTTATCCTAGATTAAAGACTATACTTTAAATGGTTCTTAGTAATTATGTAATGTGAAAAAAATAAGCAAACTTTCAAAAATTGGTATTAGATTTATTCCTCATAGCTTCACTTTGTCCTGTGCTGCTGTTTTTATTTACACAAAAAATCAAGTTCATTGTAAATGCAAGGAAGGGTTTGGTTAAGCACAATAGCCTATAAGCTTCTTGCTTTTTAGATAACATCAAGGCTCAGGCATGCACTGTGGAATTGGGACTTCAGCGTGCTAGCTAGACGTGATTTATTCAGTTATAGGAGCTCTCCCAGTGGCAGTCAGATGGCAGAAGGGTATATCCTCTGAAAATCTATTTAAATTGGTAAATTAAAAAATCCCAAATTTTAATGTCTTAATGATTTTAAAAGCAATTCAGAAAGAACCAAAACAGATTTTGGCAGAAATTCTTGTTTGAGTGGATTTTTATGCTTAGTTTTATTTTATTTTTATTATTAAGAGGGAGCTTTTGAAAGCTCTGCTCATATCAGCGTTTGGGAGAATGATGATACAGTGCCGTTGGTAAGAAAAATTTCTTTACTTTGTTTTCTATGATCCAGAAATTGACTTGATTAAGAAACACATGCACTATAGCAAACCAGTGAAGTTATACTTCTGTAAGTTAAATGGATTTTACAAGTTTGATATTAATGCTTCAAATGTCTAATTAGATATATGGTAGAATAGTCTTTAATGTGTATTTTCATTTTGATAAGCAATATATTTTGACATGTTTATATAGATTTTTATCTTGATGGAGTCATAGAAATATTAAGGGCTTTCTATTTATGTGCACATGTTTTTAAAATTTCAATATACATTTATAATATATGTATGTTTTAAATGTAAGCTGTTACAATTATTTCAATGTATTTTACTAAAAGTTTATGTGAAAGGTGAATTTTTGGGTAATTTCCTATGAGGTATAATATGTTTAAAGACAATAATAATTGGTGATTTTTAGAGCAAATTTTTATTTAAGTTATTTTTAATATTTCAACTTTGGTAAAATTTGGTAAGACTTAAGAATTTTGCCTTAAACATTGAGCTAAGTTTCAGAGAAATGATACTTGTGAAAAGAGTAATGAGATGATATGGTCAAGAATTGTATTTAGAAAAGTATGAAAATATATTCTTATAGTCGGTGCACCATGTATAATACCTCACTTAAAAATAATTAAGTGGAGTATTTTTTGCTGTGATCAGTTTTGAACTGTAGAAGAGGAGATGAAAATATAGTTATATTAGACTAAGGTGAACTCTGTCAAAGAGATGTTTGGGGAAAAGGTTTTAAGTAGTTCTAAGTACATAGACTTAATGAAAACATTGAATTTGAATTCCTTTTCTAAAATTATAAAAAGGATGCCTATTTATCTACTACTACATTCTACAATGAAAAATTAGGATTTACAAAATTGGGAAGTACATCTGTATTTCTAGGCAATGGATAAAAGACAAGAGTGAAGAAGAGTTAGAGTCAAAGCCTAGCAGTAAGAATTTATTCATAATGCCTGCTACATGATAGATTGAGTCAGTGGATTTGGGACTTACGTAGAGGCAGAGTTCTCAAGATTTGTGGCCTTTGGTGCCAGGAACGAATATCTTCTGAAAATTTTCTTTTACTAAAGTCTTCAGGTGGGTGGCTCTTATTTTGTTTATTTAAAAGAACTTTCTATTATGAACAGTTTCTACATACTAAAAAGTAGAAAGATTAGTATAATGAACTCTCATGTACCTATCACTCAGTTTTTAACTTAGCTTTAGCAGTTATCAACTCATGGCCATCCCCTGACTGATAAAGATAGGTTTTTCCAATTTTTAAATTATTTGGAAGTAAGTTCAAACTGCAGAAAAGTTGGTGTATTGGTGTAAAGTTGTTAAGTTCCTTGATTATCTTTCTGATATCTGCAGAATCTGTGGTGATGTCTTCTCTCTTATTCTTGATATTGGTAATTTGTGTCTTTCCCCACTTCTTGTTGAGTCTAACTAGAAATGATCAATTGTATTGATCTCAACCAGCTTTTGGTTTCATTGATTTTTCTGTTTATTTCATTAATTTCTTCTGAATTGAATTATTTCCCTTTAGTGGTTACTCGGGGTGTGATTTGCTGTTTTTTCCCTAATTTCTTAAGGTGGAAGCTGAGGTCATGACTTGAGCCCTTTCTTCTCTTCAGATATTGGGATTTAGTGCTGTAAATTTTCTAAGTGCTATTTTAGCAGCATCCCACAAATTTTGATATGTCTTCATTTTTATTCAGTTCAGAATACTTTCTGTTTTCTCTGTTTATTTCTTTGACTTATGAATTTTTTAGAAGTGCATTCTTTTGTTTTCAAATATAATAAGGCTTTTCTACTTTGTTATTGATTTCTAATTTAATTCCATTGTGTTCAGAACATACTTTATGATTTGAATCTTTTTTATGTCCCACAATCTGGTCTTCCTTGGTAAATGTTCTGTTAGCATATTAAAAGAGTGTATATTTTGCTGTAGTTGAGTAGAGTGTTCTGTAAATATCAGCAGAGACTGCTTCATTGATAATGTTGTTCAGCTCTTCTATGTCCTAACTGGTATTTTAAAATTTACTAGTTCTATCACTTATTGAGAGTGGTATTGGAAATGAAATCTCCACTAATAATTGTGAACTTCTTTTCTGCTTTTAGTTTTATTAGTTTCTACTTCATGTATTTTGAAGGTCTATTAAATGTGTACATGTTCGGGATTATTATTTTATCTTCATGAGTTGACCCCTTTGTTGTTATGAAATGGCTTTATCCCTGGTTAATATGCTTTGCTTTGAAATCTGTTTTGTCTGATATTAATGCAGACATGCATTGCATGGTATATCTTCCTTACTTTTACATTTAACCTACTTGTGCCTTTATATTTAAGTTGTATTTCTTACAACCAACATACAGTTGCCTATAGTCTTGCTTTTTAAAAATACAACCACAACTCTGCCTTTCAGTTGCTGTTTAGACCATTTATATTTAATGCGATTTTTGGTATTGTTAGGTTTAAATCAGTCATCTTGCTGTTTGTTTTCTGTCTCATCTTTTTTCATTTCCTTTTTCTCTCTTTTCCTGTTATATCAGTTGAGTATTTTTTATGGTTCCATCTAATCGCCTTTGTTGATTTATTTATTTTTTTAGCTATGACTGTTTTATTCTGGTGATTGCTGTAGAGTTTATATTATACATCTCTAACTTATTGCAGTCTACCTTCAGGTGATACTAAACTGCTTCATGTAGAATATAAGAATCTTGCAAGAGTATACTTCCTCTTCTCCCTGTTCTTTGTGCTATTGTTATGTGCATTTACCCATATAGTTACCATCTCTGATGATCTTCATTCCTTTGTGGAGATCCACATTTCCATCAGTTATCTTTCTGCCTGAGGGCTTCTGTTAATGGTTTTTTTATGGTGTAGGCTTGCCCATGATGATTTTTTTCAGCCTTTGTGTCTGAAAAAGTCTTTATTTCACTTTTGATTTTGGAAGATTGTTTTTCCTGGGCATAGAATTCTCTGAATAGTTTCTTTTTCTCAGTGCTTCAAAGATGTTGCTCCGCTGTCTTTTTACCTGCATTGTTTTTAGCAGGAAATTTGATGTCATTCCTATCTAGCTCCTTTTGATGTAACATAGCTCTTTTCTCTGGCTCCTTTAAGCTTTTTTTTCATCACTGGTTTTGAGCAGTTTGATGATGACATGCTTTAGTGTAATTTCTTTTTTTTTTTTTTTGGTGAGGAAGATCAGTCCTGAGCTAACATCCGAGCTAATCCTCCTCTTTTTCTGAGGAAGACCGACTCTGGGCTAAGATCTATTGCCAATCCTCCTCCTTTCTTTTTCCCCAAAGCTCCAGTAGATAGTTGTATGTCATAGTTGCACATCCTTGTAGTTGCTGGATGTGGGACGCGGCCTCGGCTGGAGAAGGAGTGCGTCGGTGCATGCCCGGGATCCGAACCCGGGCCGCCAGCAGCGGAGCGTGTGCACTTAACCGCTAAGCCACCGGGCCGGCCCTTTAGTGTAATTTCTTAATCTTTCTGTACTTAGTGTTAGTTGGACTTCTTGGATCTGTGGACTTACATTTTTTTCATCTAATTGGAAAAAATTGGGGCTATTATATCATTACATAATTTTTGATCTCTCCCGCCTTCCATGTATATTAGGCTGCTTAAAGTTGTCTTACAGCTACTGATGCTGTTTTTTTTTCCCCCACTAGTCTCTTTTCTCGCCATTTTTCATTTTGGATATTTCTATTACTATGTCTTCATTGATTTTTCTGCAATTTCTGACATGCTGTTAATCCCATCTGGTATATTTTTCATCTCAGACATTGTACTTTTTATCTTACCTTTGGTTTGGTTCTTTTTTTTTTTTTTTTATATCTTTTCGTGTCTCTGCTTAACATGTTCAGTCTATCCCTTTGCTTTTTGACCATATGGACTACAGTTACAACAGCTGTTTTAATGTCCTTGTCTACCAATTCTAATATCTTTTTCTGTTCTTGGTCCTTTTCTATTGATTTTTCTCATTATGGGCTGTATTTTCTTCTTTGTGTGCCTGTTAAGTTTTAATTGGATGTCAGACATTGTGACTTATTGGGACTAGATATTTTATATTCCTATCAATATCATTGAACTTTGTTCTATGAAGCAGCTAAGTTACTTGGAAACAATTTTATTCTTTCAGGTCTTATTTTAAAGCTTTGTTAGGCAGGACCAGAGTAGCTTTTAGTTTAGGGGTAATTTGATCCCATTACTGAAGCAAAACCCTTCTGAACACGCCCCCTGATTCCTTGTGACTAATGAGGTTTTCTGCTGTGGTTGGTGGGAACTGGCACTCATCCCAGCCCTATGTGAGCCCTGATGGCTTTTTCCCTCTTACTCTTTTTGGGTGGTTGGTTCCCTGGCCTCTGGTAGTTTCCTCACATAGAAGCGCTGATGAGTACTCAGCTGAAGACTTGAGGGGACCATCTTGCAGATTTTCAGTGTTCTTTCTCTGTGCAGATCTCCCCTCTGCTAATCTGCCCTGCAAACCTGGTCACTCTGGTGCCTCCTCAGACTCCCAGCTTCATCTCTCCATCTCAGGGAAGACTGCTCCCTGCCCCTGCCACCCCCCCCCGACACACAATGGGTTCCCTGTCCTCCGTTTTTTTGCAAGCCTGGAAACTCTTCAGTTTCTAAACCTGGTCAACTGTAGAACTCACCTAGTTTGCTTCCCATCCCTGTATTAGTTTCTTTCATTACCTTGTGTCCAATTCCTTGAAAACTGTCATTTTATATATTTTGTCCATTTTATTGTTGTTGTTTTAGGTAAAGAGCAGATCTGGTCCCTGTTTTTCCATCTTGGTTGGAAGCAGAAGTCTCTCCATATAAGAATTTTAAGGAATTTCTCCCCTCAAGAAACATATTTTAGGTGGTGGTGACGGGAAATGGGGATCAGAATTATTTGTACAATTACTCATCGCTTAACAACAGGGATACATTATGAGAAATGAATTGTTAGGCAATTTCGTCATGTTGAGAACATCATAGTGTACTTACACAAACCTAGATGGTATAGCCTACTACACAGCTGGGCTACATGGTACTAACCTTATGGGACCACTCATATATACAGTACGTCATTGACTGAAATGGCGTTATGCAGCACATTACTGAATTTGGTTATCAAAAGTGACTCTGATGGATCCTGAGTGATGACCCGGAGATTCAGTCCAGAACTTAACGAAGAACCACAGACTAAGGGTTAAGAACCCCAGACTGGCATTCTTTAGTGGGGACAGTGTCGGGGCAGAGTGCCTTTGCCTTACCCTTTGAAGGTAGGCATGGGCACATTTACCACCTTGCAGGAGTGGGCTGTACCTTGCACGTTCAGACAACAGCAGCTCATCTTTTGTACAGGGAAGGAGGTTGGGCTTGTTCATTCTCCCCGTAGTCTATAGCAGCAGGTTATAGCCTTAGAGAATAACCGCTACCTCAAGTCATATTGATTTGATGGATCAGTCTTACCCTGGTGGACAACTTTAGTAGTATGCTTCAGGGCTGTAACACTACCCTAGAGAAGAAATTGTTACTAAATTGCCCGAAGCGTTTTGTATTATAATGTGGCTTGTTTTAGAGAAGTTGGACCAGATACCTCCAGAAAGCCCCGGCCTTTCCTAGTTCTGACCCTGTCTCTGGGGCTACTGGAAGATAGAGAAGCTCTAGGTGCCGGTGCAGGAGGCATCAGTATTTTTATTGGTCATTTTGTTGATGATGTATATCAAGAGATTTCAGTAGTCTTATATATGGGATTAGTTTGAACTCCTACAGTTGGTTTTATCTGGCTGTTAATACATATCATGGAAATATGAAGTAGCTATTGCTGTCTTAGCAAAAATTCTATATCAGGTCATTTCATTCAACAATTATTTTTTGAGTGCCTACCATGTGTCAGGCCTGTGCTACACACTGGGTAGATGAGTAGAGGTATGGTATCTGGAACGAGGGAGGAGGTAACACTCCCATTTTGTTCTGCAGAGATCAGCCTAGTCTAGAGCAGTGGCTCTCAAACTCTTTGGGCTCAGATCCTTTTACATTCTTGAAAATTATTATGAACTCTCAAGAGCTTTTGTTTATGTGGGTTATATCTGTTGATACTATGTTAGTTAAGACTGATATATCTTGGAGAATATTAATTTGATGAAACATAACAATAATAAACTTATTACATATTAAATAACATTTTTGAAAAATATTTTCCAAAAAACAAAAAAAATTCGGAAGAAAACTGGCATTGTTTTGCATTTTGCAAATCTCTTTAAAGTGTGTGAATGTCTAATATTTGAAATTAATCTCTCTTTTTTAAAACAGGAAAAAATTATCAGTGAGGTTGGTGAATTTTCTCCTAGACAAGCATCCCGGGTAGTCAGCAGCAATCAGAAGATTGCTTAGTGGATTTAGACTCAGAATGGGGGCATCAGTTGAGTGATCTGCAATAGGGGTATGCCTGCCATAGGGATTGACTCTTGGCCAGGGATTGCCATTCGTGTTCTAGGTGCTTGGTGAATGTTTCTTGGATGATCCCTGAGAGGTTTTGGGTTGGTTTCCCTGCTGGCGCTTTGCCTCTTCACTAGACTTCAGGCAGTAAATTGAGTTATGTGAAGTACTTTTAGCTCAAGATGGTTAAACTAGGCTAGTTCTCTGAGTCTGGGGAATGACAAAGGAACGTTCTCTAGTAGTTTCTCTCAGTATTTAAAGTGTCTTGTAGCAAAGCTATTGCTAGTATAAATTAATGAAATATGCCAAGTTTAGTAAATAATGCATGTTCAAGATCTGGCACACTATTGAAAATGTCATTAGAATCAACTAGCTCTTTAGTGACTGCTTAAATATCATGGTTAAACCTTGATACATGTATCACAACAAGAAATCTGATAGTATGAAGTTATAGGGGCTACTAAGATACAAAATAACTCCCTAACATTTGTTCCTCTTTTCTCTCAGTTATCCTCAACTGTTCTGAAGCACAGGGCCTTTGGAACCACTGTAGATATGGACAAAGAAGAAAGGAAGACTATCAACCGGGGTCAAGAAGATGAAATGGTGATCAGCTTTTATAATTTACTTGTAAAGTGTGAAGAATTTATCTCTGCAGTTTATTATTCTAGAGAAGTAGAAAGTACATTTAAAAAAACAGCTAAATTAATGTGCTTGTCTCATCCTGACTGTGTTTTTGAATTGGGATTATGTAACATTTCTGTTTGTTGGCTTTAGTATAATTCCTCTTTCATTTGTGAACTGTTAAAACTTAGAGGAAAGAAGTATGTTTTTTCATGTTTAAGAAGTTAAGTTAGCTAATGCTTAAATATAATCTCAAATACAAGATTTCTGATTTTGATTTATAAAAAAGTTTAACATCAGCTTAATGAAAAAACTTGTCAACTCTTTTTGTGTGTGTCAGGGAGAAAAACAGTTATCAGGTAAAATATAAGATACCCTGTTAAATGTGAATTTCAGATAATTAAGGAATAAATTTTTAGTATAAGGATGTCCGAAATATTGCATAGGACAAACAAAGGAATTATTAGTTTTTTATTTGAAGTTTAAATTTCACTGCGCCCTCTGCATTTTCATTTGCTAAATCTGACATCCCTTGTTGGGGTGGGAGGTAACTGAAACAATTGAAATAATTTGGATCAGGAGTTCAAATTGATCAGTCACAGTGGTATTGGGACAATTAGCTAATCATTTGGGAAAAAAATAGGGTTAAAACCTGCCTCATCTAAATGCAACGTGATATTCTGGATTATATCCTGGAATAGAAATAAGACAGTGGAAAAACTGGTGAAATCCTAATAAAGACTAAGTTTAGTTAATAGTAATGTACCACTGTTACGCTCATGATTTTGGCAAATGTACCAAGATGTTAACATTAGGAGAAATAGACAAAGCGTCTACAAGAACTCTTAATTTTTTTTTGGTAAGGAAGATTAGCTCTGAGCTAACATCTGTTGCCAATCCTCTTCTTTCTGCTGAGGAAGATTGGCCCTGGGCTAACACCCGTGCCCATCTTCCTCTACTTTAAATGTGGGACGTCTGCCACAGCGTGGCTTGATAAGCGGTGTGTAGGTCCGAGCCCGGGATCTGAACCTGTGAACCCCAGGCTGCTGAAGCAGAGCACGTGAACTTAACCACTACGCCACTGGGCTGGCCCCAAGAACTCTTAATATTTTTGTAACTTCTCTGTAAATCTAAAATTATTCCAAAATTAAAAGTTTGTTAAAAAACAATCCTACCTAATGACAAGATAAATTCTGGATGAATTAGAAAGGTAAATGTAAAAATGAAATTATAAAAGTTCTAGGAAAATATACTAAATATGAATATGTTAAGTCAGCAGGAAAGAACTTACTAAGAATAACATGAAATGTAAAACCATGACATGTAAATAACAACATGTTTAACTACTTAAAAATACAACTTTGGGGGCTGGCCCGGTGGTGCAGCTGTTAAGTGCGCATGCTCTGCTTTGGTGGCCCAGGGTTTGCAGGTTTGGATCCCAGGGGCGCACCGATGCACCGCTTGTTAAGCCATGCTGTGGCTGCATCTGATATAAAGTAGAGGAAGATGGGCACGGATTTTAGCCCAGGGCTGATCTTCCTCAGCAAAAAGAGGAGGATTGGCATTGGATGTTAGCTCAGGGCTGATCTTCCTCACCAAAAAAAAAGGCAACTTTGGCAATGAGCTTGCCAGAAACAAAATTTAAAGATCAATTATGGGTTGGGAAAATATTTGCAGTTTATGTGACAAGACAGTAATACACATCTGGAAAACAAAGAACTTTGGAACTTATTTTCTCTCGTGTCATTTGATATTTAATTATGTGATCACTGTGTCCATACAGGAGATTTATGGCTATAATTTGAGTCGCTGGAAGCTTGCCATAGTTTCTCTAGGCGTGGTTTGCACTGGTGGCTTTCTCCTTCTCCTCCTCTACTGGTTGCCTGAGTGGCGGGTGAAGGCGACCTGTGTTAGAGCTGCAGTTCGAGACTGTGAAGTGGTGCTGCTGAGGACTACTGTAAGTCCGTGTGTTTACGTAGCTGATTGTCTGAGGAGTGAAATAATATCTGTGGTGTACTTTGTTCAAAATAATATAAGAAGACAACATCGCTGCTAGGATGTAATGAGGAATACTAATCCTGGTATTTCTAAATCATCTGTGTTTGAAGTGAAAAGAGTATAAAGGAATCACAAATCCACTCCCTTCTTTTTATAGCTTTTGATGCTCAGAGAAATGTGTTGCTTGTCTGTCAAGGTCACGAGGCAGTTAGGACTGTATCCCAGATCACTCATTCTCTAGACCAGCTAGCTCCCTTTCTACTCTGTGATGCTGCTACATCCCAGGTTTTTTTTTAATCCTAATTGAGAGCATTTTGTAAGAGGCTTTAATATCTAGTCTGAGTATGTAGATGGGTAAATTGAGAAATGACTTAGGATTTTTTACGGGGTATTGTATTAGTGAAGAACGTCCTATAAAATGGTGAGCAATGGAAAGCACTTCATGTTTGAATTTATGCGTCTTCATGAAGTGGTTTAATATTTAGTGAGTAGGAAGTGATGCTTTCTCAATTAGAGGTGTGTAAATAATATGTAAAGAATGGAAATCAAATAAAAATTTATAGGCAGCTATATATGTAATTGACTTTTACCTTTATCCACTTCTCTTTTCTAAGGATGAATTCAAAAGGTGGTTTTGTGCAAAAATTCGCTTTCTTTCTTTGGAAATGCACCCATTTTTGAGTCCAAAATCTATAATCAATAAAGTTTCAAATGGCCATGCTGTTCATTTAGCTGAAAATCGGGCTGAAGAGAACAGATGTGAGATGAGGAAGTATTCACAGACTCAATCGCAACAGGTATTGTTTCTTTAAAATCAAGTTGTTACATTTTATGCTATCATGGACAGCCTATAATTTTGTGCTTGCAGTTATTTTTGTTTGAGATAAATTTATATGCATATAAAATACCGTCTCTATATAACATACAATTTAGGTATTGTTAGAAGAAACAGATGACATGTCACATGTGATCATTTTAATTTTAATGTATGTGGTGTTATATATGATAGATTTGTGTTAGTAAACTTGATTGTTAACAAATAATGATAATGCTTTTTGACGTAACGTTTATTTGTGTTCAACAGATTCGTTATTTTACCCACCATAGTGTAAGATACTTCTGGGATGATACTCTTCACAATTTTGATTTCTTAAAGTAAGTTTTTTGGTTTTTTTTTTGGATTATATTACAAGTATCTTGAAAATGTTCTAGATAGAAAGGAATTCATTCCAGTGTTATGTAAAATTGAAGGTTTGTTATTGCATAACATTTATTCACTTATTCATTAACAACTCCCTGGTGTTATTTGAATACTCACTAACCATTTTAGAATAGATCCCACCTGCAACTTGAACCTTGGCAAAATTTACAGAAAACTTTGAAGCATTATGATCCCCAAATCTGAGTTTGAGTTCTTTTCTCTTTGAGGGTTTGTCTCAAAGTGAATTTTGAGTACACCTCATAGCCTACTGGAATATCTGAACTGTCACCTCCTAATTTGCTGACAGTTCTAGCCAGTTGTAGTTGAGGGATGGAGTGACAGACAAACAGGAATTTAACTTTACTATGTGGATAAAGATGAGATATTTTCAAATGCGTTAAGTCTTGGGTAGGACAAATTGGAGTAATCCCGTAAAATTTATTTTTTGTAGAGGCTTCAAGTTACATAATTACTAAATTCAGATTCTATTTTTACTGCTGTTGTGAAAGTGATTATTATAAACACTCATTGAGTATCATCGCTTGAGAGTGCCAAAGCAATTTTTAATATTAGCTATAAAGAGCGAATACCTTATGAACATTTAAAATAGACACGCATGGATTTTTCCCTCAGACACACTAAAGAATTGGAATGTTCTGGAGTGCACCTGAGCATTTCCACATGCCTAGTTCTGAAGACTATTCCTAGTTAAGAACCATTGCCTATAGAACACTGCCAGTGAGCTGCCATTTTGTTAAAAAGTTTCTTTTTTACTTGGAGCTGATCCCTGCTGCCTTTGGAAAAGTCATCAACTTCAGTGGGGGAAAAATGCCAAACATATTTGCTGTGTGGCCTTGCCAGCCGTAGAAACTTGTAGAATTTAAAGTTATCCCAATGATAGCAGTTAATTATGGAGCTTAGTTTTCCTATTTGAAAAAAGTGGAAAAGGATAAATTGTTGTTTAAGATTCTGTTTGCTTTAGAGTTCTATGACTTCTATGTCAGTTAAAATAAGCATAATTAAGACATTTTGGAGGGAAAAGTAGAATGTTAGTTGAATCCGGTTAGAATTGTTACAGGTTTTAGACATTGCCTGTGTCTCATATAATTCTGTACTTCTCTCTTGAATCTGTATTAGATCAGGGAAGGATTTGGGTTGATGCTTTTGTGGAAATGAAAGAAAAAGAAATGAATAGGATTTCTTAGTGTGAAGCTTAAAAAATTGAAGAGGGGAAACTATATAGATAAAAGTAAATTGTTTTCATCTTTAGTTTGGAATTCTTAAGTTAGTCATACTTTACCTTTAATTTTATTAGTTTAACTATTAGCTGTTAACAGCTTTGGCACAGCCTTAAAGGAAAATAATAATATTATATAAACATGAGTATTTAGAGCCATCTTATCATGTGATAGATACATTAGATAACTTAGAAGTGGCCACGTTGGAGACTTAGACCTTTTATTATTATCTTAGGAATTTGAGATTTTAAAATTCTCATTCATTATCTAAATTTTTGTTAAGGGTTTCTATTTGTAAGGAAATTACACTTTAAAATCAGGAATATAGAAAAATGAGGCATTAAGAAATTTGGATATTTTAAACTTTGTTTAAAGTAAAAACTTTGGATTTATTTAGGGGACTGGATGAAGGTGTTTCTTGTACGTCAATTTATGAAAAGCATAGTGCAGGACTGACAAAGGGGATGCATGCCTACAGGTAATTTTTATCCAACTAAAGTTAGATCTATTATCAAAATACCTAAATAAAGTAGTATATATAGTCCACCCTTTTACTATATAGTTATACATATTAGTAGGTATTTAAATATTATAGATATAGTAGTTGACAACTTACTGATATTTTATTTGGGTAAGAGTGTCTCTCAGTTTAAGAATTATAAAAATGTCGAAGCTGATATTTTGAAGTTGATATCCCTGAAAGTATGCTGTCTTTCACCAATTCTGAGGTGCACATTTTCCCATATTTTAACATCTCTAAAAGGGGGATGTGTCATACGGTGGGTGGAGTATCTTCCTTTAGCATTTTTATCTTTCTTGATAGTACATAAAATAATGGTATGTCTTACAATTGATAGCATCTTAGAATTTCTGAAATATGTTATTGGGAATTGTAAGCATGAGCTCAAATTTACTGCAATGAAAATTTGTAAATTGGGAGGTATAATCCTTTTTGTAGTGTTATTCTTTGCTCAAGTGTAAAAATATATCAGCGTATTGCATATTTTAAAGATAAATGCCATTTTTAACTTAGAGATTTTCTTGTACTCCTGTAGCATATTCTTTCAAAGGGTTAGAATATGAAAAAGTTCATTCATTCAGATTTAATACTTCATAAAAGGCAAGAATTGCTGTATCATATAGAAAGTACTATTATAAGGAATTTAAGTGGAAGGATTTAAGCAACTTTTCTTTAGCATTATTTTAAAAAGTCACATGTACAATGTTTTGAAATAAACATTCTAAGTGCAGTATTCTTATTAGAAAACTGGTAAGAGACCCCTCAAATTTACTTACTTAGTCTCTTGCAAAAATTAATTGCAATTCAAAATTGTTGAGACCTATTGTGTTTAAGGATGGAAAAGAAAGCCTTTTGCTGACACGGTTATTACAGACTAGTGGGAAGGATACTTGTCACACAAAAAGATATGAGCCAGAATGAAATAAAATGGTAATAGTATAGTTACCCAGTACTGACTACTTTGATTTAAATACTGTAGGTCGAGAATGTAAATGATAGAAGACAAATATTTAGAAACGTGAATGTTAAAGTTCCAGATTTAAGAGCAGTCTGTGGTTTTAGCCTTATCTAATGCAATGTCTTCCCAAATTGTACTATTATATAATATAATGTAATGCTATTGTTATATTTTCCTGTTATAGAAAATTGCTTTATGGAGTAAATGAAATTAGTGTGAAAGTGCCTTCTGTTTTTAAACTTCTAATTAAGGAGGTAAGACTATTGTACGTGTCTCAACATTTGTGATAATAGATTTGTCAATATGAAAAAAGCCATGATTTAAGTAATAAGACATTCTTGGTTTTCTGTTTCTAACTTTTCTTTGCTTATAGTTTTACTGGGAAGGTAAGGCGTTTCTCTGGTAAAGAAATAATTTGAGGCATGAATTAGCTGTTTCTATTTTGTCTAATTTTTTCTGCTTTTCTTGTCTGTAGATATTTTTTTTACTCTCAGAAAGTTGCACATCTAAACTTTGCCCCATCTGACGGATGTATACGCCTGTCTTGTCTTTTTTGCCCCCTATTTTTTTAAACAGTTTATTATGTTTTCTTCTTCACATGGTATTTTGTGGTACATTTTTGGAAATTAGACATTGTACCAGAAGTTTGGAATACAAAACATGACATCATGATTGACACTGAGGGACTTGAAAGCACGTTAGCCTGGGAGGAACACTTGTCAGTAGATATTGTAGTGACTGTTCGGTTGTAAGTGCCATACAGGAGGTGTGAATGAAGGACTGTGCATGTAAAGGAAGGGAGTAAGTGATTTTGCCTAGCAAAGTTAGGCTCTCCAGTCTTCCTTCTGATTTTTGGCTAAAGATCAAGAATTAGCTGTGTTGGGTGAATACGTTTAGTAGAAATAATAGATTATTTTCCATTAGTTCCCGAGAATGGCCGTATAATGTTGCTTTAGAACATAGCATAGTATAATGATTAGGAATTAGAAAGCTTGGTTTGTAATATGGTTCCATCAGTAATTAGCTTTGATCTTTAGAAGACCTTCCTCTCTGTTGCTCCTTTATCTATAAAATTGGACTAAGTTCTTTCTAATTATCTCATTTGATTTTGAAGTAAAATGGGGCCATATATGTGAAAGTGCTTTGAAAAGTACAGAGGCATCAATTTTAAGACATTGGGGGGTTTTTAATGAGAGTGGTAAAATACTATGAAATTTGGGTAAACAAAGTTCATTGCCAGGACTCTTTTATCTCCTTTTTTCATTCAGGTTTTAAAATCCTTAATTATTTCATTAGACAATACAAAACAGTATAATTTATCATCTCGTATTTGTCTTCCCTTTGGACTCCACTGAACCTTTGACTTATAAGTAAATTAGTGTTTGGAGTTCATAAGTAAGCATTTGTTCCATTTGATCCATCCTTTAGTAGTCCTGTAATTATTGGGAGTAAATGTACTTTATTGCTAAAGCAGAAGGAAGAATGGCTAAATTCACACATTTTAGCTGAATCTATATTTGGGCTTGGTATGAATCTAAATGAACGCAGATAAGTTAAATTGGGCTTATTTAGCCAAATTCTAGTAGGGTTTTTTTTTTTTTTTTTTGTGAGGAAGATTAGCCCTGAGCTAACATCTACCAATCCTCCTCTTTTTGCTGAGGAAGACTGGTCCTGGACCAAGATCCATGCCCATCCTCCTCCGCTTTATATGGGACGCCGCCACAGCATGGCCCGACAAGCAGTGTGCCGGTGCGCGCCTGGGATCGGTACCGGCAAACTCCGGGCCGCCACAGCAGAGCGTGCACACTTAACCGCTTGCGCCACTGGGCCGGCCCCCAAATTCTAGTAGTTTTAATGGTAAAAAACGTACCATGCTAATGTCTTGTCCTTCTCTTTAAGTAATATATGCCCTAGGGACTATAGAGCTTATCCTGTAAGTATGTTGTTGGTTACTTCTTAGATGAAAAGGTGAAAAATATGTGTGGTTATAAATATCTCATTCAACTTGACTTAAAAATCTTGTTTTTTAGGTTCTCAACCCGTTTTACATTTTCCAGCTATTCAGTGTTATACTGTGGACCACTGATGAATACTATTACTATGCTCTAGCCATTGTGATTATGTCTGTAGTATCGATTATAAGCTCCCTATATTCCATTAGAAAGGTAAGTCCAATTTATGATGGGTTTCACAGCTTCATTTGTATCTTGTAATAACATGTAAGGTGTGTAGAACAGTGCTTCGTATAAAGTAAGTACTTGATACAGTTATTCTCTTAGTTATACGAATATGTACTCCCTTTCTCCCTTTTTTTTGATGTGGGAGAATGCAGGTGGCTTTTACGGTCAGACTATTACTTGACTGCTTAGAGGCCATGAGGATCTATTGTTGCTTATCACAGACTGGAATACTGGAGGGCTGATTCTGCTGTTTTTAGGGCTGTCTCATTAAAGTGCTTCTTATTTTGTCTTGCTAAAACATTGAATATTCTTCTAGTCTTGAGATTTTTAAAGGCAGAGTAATATGCATTTATGTATTAAACTTATTTTATATAGCATTCTTGCTTTCTAATATCTTGTAGAGTGGGTTTATTTTAAGCTAGTTAAAAATGTTTTTTTCCTATTTCAGCAATATATTATGTTGCATGACATGGTGGCAACTCACAGTACTGTGAGAGTTTCAGTTTGCAGAGTAAATGAAGGTCAGTACTTCAGGTGACTCTTGGAAAAGTAAACTAAGAAACATCCATTAAGTACTAATGTATGAAGCAAACCCAGTGTATTATACATATACATTCATTTCTTACTATTTTTTTTTTTGGTGAGGAAGATTAGCCCTGAGCTAACATCTGTTGCCAATCCTCCTCTTTTTGGTGAGGAAGATTGGCCCTGGGCTCACATCTGTGCCCATCTTCCTCTACTTTATATGTGGGACGCCGCCACAGCATGGCTTGATGAGCGGTGTGTAGGTCTGCACCTGGGATCTGAACCCACGAACCCTGGGCTGCCGAAGCAGAGTGTGCGAACTTAACCATGGCGCCGCTGGGCTGGCCCCCTACGTTCATTTCTTAAGAAATAAAAATATGTGTTTGGATTTGTACTCATCTCTGAGTTTGTGTCGAATTCATTTATATAAAATTGTATTTTTCGTTTTTTGCAATGTGACAGGTACTATACTAGGCTCTGGTTACTAAGATGGACATAGTCCTTGCCATCACTGAACTTCAGTCTAGTTGTAAAGACAGATGATGCACAGTAACAATCAAGTGTGACAAATGCAATGATAGGGAGAGGTCAGAGAACTTAGATATTAGAGCTTATTTACTGTAGGTGTCAGGGATGGCTTCTTTGATAAAGTATTTTGAAGTGCTTGTATTAGCTAGATAAGAGGTAGGTGAGAAGGTGGTAAGGTGGGAGTGAGAGAGGGAGAGAAGAGGGTTCTAAGTGCCCAAAGGTCTGGAAATTAGAAGAGTTCCGTCATTGTAATAACAAAGAAACTCAGTTTGGCAGATGCAGCAACTAGATGCTGAACAGCCTTCTAAGGCATGTTAAGGAATTTGGACTCATTTCAAAAGGCAATGGAAAGCCATGGAAGGGTTTTAAGCAGAAATAGTGATATCTTATTTGCCTTTTTGAAAAAATCGTTCTAGCTGCCATGTTCAGACTGGTGTAGAGGGGAGTAATATTGAAGGCATGAAATGGACCAAGGTGAAGGTTGTGGAGATGGAGAGAAATGAGATGGGTTTGAAATATACTTAAATGTGGGCATTGAACAGGATTTGGTGATTCATTGGATGCAAGGTGATAGAGCAGTATCAGGCTGGGGGGATGGACATTGGTGCCATTTAATTAAATAGGGAATACTAGAGGAGAAGGAAGATTGTAGAGGAGGATAACGTTTTGGATGTCTTAGTTTTCTGGTAAGATACTGAAGTGCTGAAGGAGATAAATGGGAGGCAGCACAGCATTGTGGGCCTTGGAGGCAGTGGCCACTTTGATTTGTTGAGAATATCAAATCAGTCTGCATTCTCTTGGCTCAGTACACCATATCTAGGTGTAAACATAGTTTGGCCCAGCAGGTGGCTTCCTTCCTTGTGCTTCCTGATCACTTACTGCTTTAGCTGGGGGTATCTGCCTCTCCTAGCTGCAGTCGCAGATGTTTGGCTTATTGGTGCTCCTCCTCTTCCCACTCTGCTGCTGCTGAAGACACTGAGGATGCTACTAGGGCAGATGCACCATCCAGTGTGTATCTTACTTAGCTTCTTTGTGTAGTCTAACAGATCACTGATATTTTGTTTCCTGGTACACCTAACAGGAATTTCAAGTGACATTAAAGCTTTAAAAGACTCAAGTTTTTTAAATAAGTCATCTTATTAAAAAATGAATATTGTTTTACCTACGGTGTACTAAATATCATTAGAATTCTTTAAAAGTTGTTTCCTCATAGTTTAGTAAACTCCTTCTTCCTTTTTTTAGAAAGGAAAGATTATTTGTCCTACAGACTAACATCACAAACACTAGTTTTCTCCTCACCTGTCTTTGTTTACAAACTCGTGTAACTCTTCTGAGCATAGTATTAAACCTAAGGGGGAAGAATGAGAGGGAGGGAGAGAGAATGCCCAAATATAAGGCAATCCTAAAGAAAAACTTTTTTTTTTTTTGTGAGGAAGATCAGCCCTGAGCTAACATCCATGCCAATCTTCCTCTTTTTGCTGAGGAAGACTGGCCCTGAGCTAACATCCGTGCCCATCTTCCTCCACTTTATGTGGGATGCCGCCACAGCATGGCCTGACAAGCGGTGTGTCAGTGCATGCCTGGGATCCGAGCCCGGGCTGCCAGCAGCGGAGCGCGTGCACTTAACCGCTATACCCCGGGGCTGGCCCAAGAAAAACCTTCTTTTACTTGAGAAGATCTTTTTAAAAAGTGTTTAGTTAACTTGAATATAATACATAAATTTCTAAGGAAATAATGAACTAGATAAAAATATTACAGTGTTTAACTTATAAATTTATTTAAAATAATATCTAAAATATTATTGGGACTATTGTAGGAATACTGAGAAGGCAGTGAGACTTTATGGGTTATGACTAGTGGCAATGAGACAAAAAATGCTGTGAAAAATGCTGTTAAAAAAGGAAAGTACGCTCAAATTTCCAATGCTTTCTTCTGTTTCTGAGGGATTATAGAAATCTGAGTTTGTTTACCTGTTGCAGGGGGATCTCATGTGTGGGCTCTCTGTGTCTCTTTTCTAAGAATGGGCTGATAGCTAAGCTCTATCATGGACCATTGTAATGAGTGTTGAAGCCCGCCTACCTGTTTACAGGTCAGAAAGCACTTGGCATCACCCGTGTACAGATGGTGGTCTGTCAGGGGACAAACTAGCTGACATACTTAAACACCATGTTTTGTTAGCCTAAAGAGTAATAATCTTATTTGTTGAAACTCTTCATTTATTAGGATTTTTCTCTGTAACTCCATTATGTTTTCAACTTCTTATTGAGATCAGATGGCCTTTGGATAGTTCTTTTGTTTGCTGTATTTTTATTCCGAGTTAAAGAAGATTCTTTTCAGACTTTCCTTTTTCTGTCTTTAACTCCAGAAGTAGATGAGATCTTTTCTACAGACCTTGTGCCGGGAGACGTCATGATCATTCCACTGAACGGGACAGTCATGCCTTGTGATGCAGTGCTTATTAATGGCACTTGCATTGTAAACGAAAGCATGTTAACAGGTAAACTCAGTCACAGAAGTAAAAATAAGATGAGTTGTTTATAATATTAAGATTAAGTAGTTACCGATTAAGCTATTTCAAAATTAGCTATGCTATTTGTATCCTTCACTTGTGAATGTCATAAATGTGATGGATAGTGAAGATTTTTTTTGAGGGGACCAAATGCTGCATTGTGCTCAGCTGCGATACTAAATCACTGTGCTGGAGTTCATTGCGTTTCTTGGCCTGCTTCTGGCCACTCTTGTGACATGAGGACATGGTTTATAGTGAGAGAAGAGAAAGGAAGTCATTGCCCACAGACAATGCAGCATATTTACTTCCCTATTTGATGTGTAAAACGTGGGAATAAAGATTTTATATTTTTCTTAAACTGGGGAGAAGTAGACTTTAAAATGACTTCCTTTTGAAAATTCACAATCTGGAGGTAGAGCTTTATATATTTTTATCACATGAATTTTTTATTTTTTTTTTTATTTATTTTTTGTGAGGAAGATCAGCCCTGAGCTAACATCCATGCCAGTCCTCCTCTTTTTGCTGAGGAAGATTGTCCCTGGGCTAACATCCATGCCCATCTTCCTCTACTTTATATGGGACACTGCCACAGTGTGGCCCGACAAGTGGTGCATTGGTGCGCGCCCGGGGTTCTGAACCCGGGCCGCTAGCAGCGGAGTGCGCGCGCTTAACAGCTACACCATGGGGCCGGCCCCCACGTGAATTTTTTTTTATTGTCATAGTCAATCTGGCAAGAAAGTGATTCCTGTATAATACATTTTTGAATTGCTAAGAATCTTGTCTTAAAACATACTCACAAACATAAATATCCCCACATACTTGCCACCTTTGAAGCAAGAAGTGTGAATGCTACAAGGAATTAAATTTTAATGTTAAAAAGAATTTGGCTGTTAGTTTGAGAGAACTGCCATCCTACTCTGTCCTCTCTCCCATGCCCACATGCCTTTTCTGTTCCCTAGTCGTGTGTGTGTGCATCCGTGCATGCATGTGAGTGCACGCACATGTGTGTAGGGGGTGGTTAGGAGTAGGTCTTGACATCTCTGGGTGTGCTTGAGGTTGCAGTGTGCCTTTCAGTTCAGGTCTTAGGGATAAGAGAACAGGTGCTGGGGCTGTGGCCACTGCCTGGTCTTCTTATTTGAAACTTGACATGATCCTCTCCACATGGTTACCTTTGAGTCACAGATCACTTTCAGGAGTTATTGTGGGAGACAAGATTTAATATTTTGGGGTAAGGAAGTTGGTAGACAAAAAGCTAATGATGAAGCTGTGTTATCCACATTAGACTTCTTAATAACATTGTAAACAGTATGATAACATTTAGGATATTTAACAGTTCAAGATTTGTATATTAGGTGCTGGTTTCTATGCTTTAATTTATAATATTTTTCTTTTTTTTTAAAGGAGAAAGTGTTCCAGTGACAAAGACTAATTTGCCAAATCCTTCAGTGGACATAAAAGGAACGGGAGATGAATTATATAGTCCAGAAATACATAGGCGACACACTTTGTTTTGTGGGACTACTGTAATTCAAACTCGTTTCTACACTGGAGAGTTTGTCAAGGCCATAGTAGTTAGAACAGGTAGAAATCATTTAATCTCTGCTTGCATGGTTTAGCGTATTTGATGCCTATTGAATGTTTAAAAAGAGATTCTGTTTTGGGATATAATTCTCATTTTCTTATAAAAATATGGTCATTTTCTTCTTTAATTTTCTTTTTAAAGGATTTAGTACTTCCAAGGGACAGCTCGTTCGTTCCATATTGTATCCCAAACCAACCGATTTTAAACTCTACAGAGATGCCTACTTGTTTCTGCTGTGTCTCGTGGCGGTGGCTGGCATTGGGTTTATCTACACTATTGTCAATAACGTTTTAAATGAGGTTCGTATGTGGGACTCTTAATAGGGTTTGATTCTTGATTATCACATGTGGCAATTGAGGGTTTGAAATGTGGCTAGTGAGACTCAGGAACTAAAATTTCAATTAATTTGAATTAATTTTACCTTAAAAAAGTCATATGAGACTAGTAGCTATTATACTAGAAAGTACAGATATAGAACATTTCCATCATAGCAGAAAGTTCTTTTGGACGGCTCTAGTTTAGATGGTCTTTTATTTGCTTTCTTGTGACTTAAAGGGAGGGGTGACCACATACTCACCAAAAAGCTTTACTTTGTCTTTTTTTAACCTCTGGGATATACAGCATTAAAATTATTTGTGATTACTTAATTGATGGTATTTCTAAGGGACCTTGTCAAATTTCTCTTTTCTGTCCCCTGTAGAGGCTGGCACAGTATGGTGCTTGTAGTAAGAGTCCATATCTGATAGATGTTTTTGAACTTTGAAGTGTGTTGTGTGTGAAGTATGTAGAGCTATTAAAATGAGTTTCCTTTAAAAGTAGCTGTCATTCAGCAGTCCATTGATGATTCATTGAGCTTCCTATTTTGCAGAATCTCTAAAGGGAAAAAAATTATAAATGGTTAATAGATGTATGTGGACACGCACTTCTTATATATAAAATTGGAAATGGTTTATAGATTTTTTCACGAAGAAATACCCACATTAGATTAGTAAGTATTTAATATTGGTGGTCTGACATTTATTTTTGTTACTTGTAGGTAGAAGTTGGGGTAATAATTATTGAGTCTCTTGATATCATCACAATTACTGTGCCACCTGCACTTCCGGCTGCACTGACTGCTGGTATTGTGTACGCCCAAAGGAGACTGAAAAAAGTTGGTATTTTCTGTATCAGTCCCCAAAGGATAAATATCTGTGGACAGCTGAATCTTGTTTGCTTTGACAAGGTTGGTTCAGTTTCATAATCATTCTCAAAGGTTACTTTGCAGTTTTTAAATATTTAGATTAATGGTTTCTAGATTCTTTATCAACTAATTTGCACACATTCTTTTATATTTCTCTAATTTTCCTCTTTTTCAACTTATTTGGCACTTGCATCATTTTTGTATATTTCATCTTACTGCTTTTTCAATTTTTAATACTTTGGATATTGCCTATTTGCCCAAATCTGCAGATGACTAATCATTCAGATCCAGAATTATGCCAAAGATCATCTGATCTGTTGTGTTTTTAACAGAATAGGCTCCATACAGATATATTTACTGGAATTTTATTGCTATAAAGTATATATGCCTAGTGTTTGCTGTGATTTTATTGAATATGTTTCAGAATTATGGAGGTCACTGATTTTGTGGTTTTATGTAAAAATGACAAATTTTGTGCCTGTGTAAAGTATACCTTGCCTCTTACAAAGAGTTTCCTTTCCTTGGCTGAAATTAGTTTTCCTAAAAGTTTTATTTTGAGAATTGAATCTTGACCAAGAAACCTTCCATCAAGCTCTTGTGTGTAACTGATCATGATAAGAATTTGATTTTTGTGCATCTTCATTATTAAAGAAAAAAATGTGAGACATTTTGTAAAAAGCAAAAAAAAGGGTCATATCTCAAAACTATATTTCATATTTATCTGTTCAGAAAATTTCACTTATGATTGTCTTTTTTGGAAACATTATGATTAAAATTCTTAAGTAGACACAAAAGTGGAGAGAAGATATAAGTGTAATAAGCCCTCACTTAGCCGTTACCCACCTTTCACAGTTAACAATATTTTGTTAATCTGACTTCATCTACCCCCTCACTTTGAAGGCGGCAGCATCGGATATTCTGTTACTTCACCCTAGAAGATGTTTTAAAAAAAACAGTACCACACTATCATCATCACTGCTTACTATACTTAACAAAATCAGCAATTCCTTAGTATTATCTAATATCCAGTTCATATTCAGATTTCTCTGCCTTTCTCAAAAATGTCTCAGAATTTTTACAATTTGTTTTTTCAGTCAGAATCCAAATAAGATTACAATTATCTGTAACAGTTGCTTTTCTTACCCCTTATCCCCAGTTATCTTATAGGAACCAGGTCATTTACGTCCTGAATTTGGCTGATTGCTTCCTCCTGATGTCATTTAACTTGTTCCTCTTCCCTTTTTGGCTCCCTATGCCCTAATCTCTCCCTCCTATATAGGCTCCTTTATTGATTGATAGGTTGATTGGTGCATTGTTCTACTGTTTTAAATAATGCAAGCACATAAATATATAGTCTACACGTATACCCCAGCCTCCCCTGCTCCCCACACACACACACACACAAATAGGGGAACCATACTGTAAGGAGTGTTCTAATCCCTTTTCTTCAGCTTGTCTATTTGTCCTAGAAGGTACTCCTATCGTAGAATGTACAGAGACCTTGTTTCCCTTTTTATAGCTGTATAGTACTCCACTGGGTATATGCAGCGTAGCATTTCATGATTTTTGTTTTTGGAGGCACTATCTACTTTGTACATGTGTGCTTTTTTTTTTTAGACTGGAACTCTTACTGAAGATGGTTTAGATCTTTGGGGGATCCGACGAGTGGAAAATGCACGGTAAATGTTAGCTAGATTTGATCATTAGTTAATTTTTAATAAACATTTTGATATATGAAACATTCAAACTTATAGAAACTCATATAACAGACAGCTGTGTACCCACCACCAAGATTAAGCCATTGACATTTTGCCATATTTGCTTCAGATCTTTTAAAAGATTTAAAATATTACGGATATTGTGAAGTCTTAATCTATCTCTTTTCCCATCCCTACCATCATTCTGAAGTTGTGTTTTATTATTATCTTTGCATGTTTTTATATTTTCACTACGTATATCCATCTTTAACAAGATCTGTCTATAAATAAATATACACGACTGATAGACTGTACATATGTTTTTGCTGCTTTTTTGCCTCTTAATATTGTTTTCAAGATTTATCCATGTTGATAAGTATAGATCTAATTTATTAATCTTAACTGTTTGCTACTCCATTGTTATGATTAAACTAAAATATCTGTTCTTCTACTAAGGGACAGTTTCATTTTTTTTTCCCCCTTTCCCCTCCACTTTCACCAACAGTGCTGCAGTTAAGATTCTTATACACCCTGCTTGTGAGCAAGTGCTTGAGTTTCAGTAAGCTAGTGTCTTAGACGTGTCAGTGCCGGGTTATATAGCACACGCATGGCTGCAGCTGTAGTAGTATTTCCTGCTTGCTCTCTGAGTGAGGCACTAGCTCGCCCTCTCGCCCTCAGTGGTTCTGAGGACCTGTTGCTCCACATCCTTGCCAGACTTGGTGTTGTCAGACTTCTTATTATTGCCAAATGGATAGATACGAAATGGATGGTATTTCATTGTGGCTTTACTTGCAGTTTCCTCATTATTTGTAAAGCTGAGCACATTTTCACATTTTTGGAAGGAGAGTCATTTAGTGTTCTTTGTGTATTGTCAGTTTATGTCCTAATTTTTCTGTTGTGTTGTTAGTCTTTATCTTATTCATTTGTTAGAAGTCCTTCGTATTTTCTGAATAGTAATCTTTTTCAGTACTGTGTGTTGCAAAAATATTCCACCAATCTGTCCCATCTTTTATTCTGTTTTTGTTGTCTTTCGATGCTTAAAGTTTTACTGCTATAGTTGTGTTTATGTCATTTTTTTCTCTCAAAAGTGAGCGGGATTTTGGTTTATATAATTCGAGAGACTGTTGTTTGGCTCATGTAATTTCAGAGTTGTTACATCTTCTTGGTAAATAGTTTGTCACATTATGACCTTATTTATCTCTAATAATTCATCTTGCCTGAGATTCTGTGTCATCTAATATTTACGTAGTTACACACCAGTTTTCTTTTGCCTAATGTTTGCCTAGTGTATCTTCCATCTCTTTACTTTTCAATCTTTCTGTGGCATTGTGTTCATTTGTTGTGATTTCAGATATATTTGAAATGATTTCTACCATCACTTACCCCAATTCACACACACATTTTTTCATATTTTTCTCTCGTATTTTCTCAGAATTTATACATTCTAATCTTTTACTGCTTGTCCTTAAATAATTAATAGTCATATTTAGAGTCTAAAGTTCATGGGTATCTATTGGTTTCTTAACCCAAAAAAACCCCACAGACTGTAGAATACTTTTACTTTGATTATTCCCCTCCCTTCTTATATGTATTTGTTGTATAATATTTTACGATTATGATTTTGGTTTTATACAATCTGCATGCTAAGATTTACGTAGGTTTTCAAATATCTTTACTAACCATTGCTTCTTGTTTCCCATTCCTCTGGATTAAATTGCCATCTTGAACTACATTCATTAGTAATTCTTCGTTTCGCTGTCACTCGTGGGTGATGGTGTGACTGTAGATTTCTAGGTCAACAGTTATGTTCTCTCAGCACTTTGAAGGTGTTACTCCATTTCTCCTGACTCCTTTTGTAACTGCTATGGAGAAGTCTCTAGTAATCTCTTTTCTCCCTTGTTGTTTCAAAAATATTTCTTATCCTTGATTTCTGCAGTTTCACCATGATCTGTGCTTTTCATAAATTCTGGAAATTTCTTAGCCTCTTTCTATTCCTTTATGGCCTTTCCTGCGTTCTTTGTTTTCTCTCCATCTGGGAATCCTAACCATATATTGGACAAAAAATTTCATTTGGTTCTTTCCAAATCTGCCTCTCTCCCTCTCTCCCTATGGTATCTTGTTCTTTTTCTAAGTCTTTAATTTAAAAATGCCTTTTTTGCATTCTTTCAGATTGCCATTCTATTTTTTCAAATTTATGAGATTCTAATTCTGTCTTTGTTGTATCTCTTGACTTGTGAGAATTGTTTCCTGGTGTGTTTTTAAATTATGGCCTCATATGTAGCAGGATTTTTCTTTGAGACTCCTTGGTGGCTGTGTTGTGGGAGCCAAGAGCAATATCAGTGGTGCCAGACAAGCATTAGTGTTACTGTAATAAGTCTGGGGATCTGTGGACCAGGTGGCAGCATATATTCAAATCCAAACCTCATCCTGAGTAGTGTAGTGGTTCAGAGTTTAGGCCCTGAAACCTGTCCTCCTATGTTTGAATGCTTGCTCTGCCACTTATGTGCTGTGTAACCTTGACAAGTCACTTAACCACTCTGCTTTATAAAATGGGGGTAATAAAACACCTTCCTGTGGTGTGAAGATGAAATAAGTCAAATATATTTAAAGTTCTTAGAACGGTGCCTAGTGCAGAGTAAACATTATGTAGATATTAACTATTTTCTTGAACTTTGGGTGAGGGAAAATGATAAGCTTATTCTTAGTTATGCCTTTGGGTCTGTGGATAAGTTTTTTCTAGTATATTCTTTTTCTAAGGGTGTAGCTCTTCAAGAGCACTGGCTTTCTTGGGCGAGAGGGATTCTTTCAGTTTCCCTCCCGACGTTGTATGTGGCAGGACTTTGCCTCCTGTTCTAGTGTGGGTATAAACCCAAGTCCTTCGGTACTGAGGTGGCTGCCCTCTCCTTCCTTCTCCCCCGGGCTCACGGCATCCCCGCAAGTTCACACCCCTCTGATTTTCCTCTCTCTCTCTTTCTGACACTTAAAACTTTCCCTTTCTTTCTTATGAGCTCAGTTTTGCATTTAAAAGATTGTATGTTACACGTTCATTTTGTGTTTTTACATATTCCAATCTGCCATATGTCCATAGGCAGGAGTTTTAATTACTGTTTAATATCTAGTATTTTCTATATTGCTATGTCTGGCTTAGTTATTCAGAATCTAAGGTAATATTGTATTTTGGTCATCTATAGTTTTCATGGAAGAAAATATTTTTGAATGCCAAAACTATTGTGAAAATGAATACATGGAGAAATGTGTAAACATTTTATTTCCATCTTTTAAAATTATAAAAACTGAATATTGTTAGAATACTGTCTTGAGTCTTGGGATTTATGAATCTAATTCAGTGCATTTTATATTTAGTTTTCTTTTGCCAGAAGAAAATGTTTGCAATGAACTGTTGGTAAAGTCTCGGTTTGTTGCTTGTATGGCTACTTGTCATTCACTGACAAAAATTGAAGGAGAACTTTCTGGTGATCCCCTTGATTTGAAAATGTTTGAAGCCATTGGATGGGTAAGTTCAATGTTTTAAAGCACAAGTAACTTTAGGAAACTATAGTAAAAGTTACCTTGCAGAAGGATTGTTTCTGCTAGTTTTGATGACAGTATATCTTGTACATAAAAGGAACTATGTAATTTCTAAAGATACATCACTGGAGAGAAATTTCTACTTGTGTAAAAAAAAAAGTCTGTTTTAGTTAAATTGACTCATTTAAACACCTTTAATAGATGATGACCTGCTCAGGCCCCTGCCTTATGTTTATAAGAGAAACCAGCTATCAGCAACGTGGGGCAGTGGGCCTGAGTCAGTAGATGATCTTCAGCATCAGTGCAGGTAAAAAGTATGGAGTAGTCCTACATGTCTTCAGTGTTCTTTTGTCCTCCTCTCCTACGTGCTGTGTCCTTACACACACATACACACACACACAGAGGTGTGTGTGTGTGTGTTTACAACTTCCTTCTATTTGTTTTGCCATTGACCATTTTAATTTCTGAGTGCTTATTATGTTCTGTGGTTGTTAGCATTTTACTGCATTCAGTTCTTATTTATTATAGATGCAATAATAGTTTGTTTTCAAAATTCCCTTCTGCTTTCTGAATTATTTATTTTCTCTCGGTCAGTTTTTTTCCCCTCCCTGCACTTGGTCTTTCTCCTTCATGCTTTTGTTTTCATTATACATCTTGATGGTCTGGGTAGCTGCAGTGAGATTTTTATCCTTGCTGATATGTGTGTTAGTCTGTTTTCTTGAGAAGCATCTCCATTAAGGGGAAGGCTGACTGGGGGAGCTGGCTGTGTGTTGGGTGGCTCTCATCAGCAGGTGTTCTTCAGTTTCAGAGGAGCAGAGTTAATCTTCAGGTTGCTTTCCTCTCCGCTCCACAGTGCTGCAACAGCAGAGCTCTCCTCTGGTGTGCTAACCCGCCTAGCAGCCCTTCTCCTCTCAGACAGGTAGTTCCTGTCTCTAGAGAATGAATCCCTGGTTTTGGTTTTGTTTTTTTTGCTTAGCTCAGCTATCCTGGCTGATAAGAAGTGCACCTCTCCTCTACGTCATCTTGTGTTAGACTGGGCTGCTGTTTCCTTCATTGCTGTATCCATCAGTATGTTTCAGTTCTCCTTTTGTCTTCATCTTTGAAGTCCCCCCTCCTTGCTTTCCTTTCTGTTTATGTTTACAGGTTTATTTCTTTTTTTTTGTTTTTTGCTAGTATTTTGAAAGAGGAGTGAGATGAATGAATGAAGTGCTCTGCCATCTTTTGAAAGCTCACAATAAATACTCATTAAATTTAATTCCCAAGAAGAGGCCCACTCCATTTATAGAGCATAAAGCAAAATAGGGCTGATTCATGTTTGATGTTCTCTAAAGCTTCTCTCCAACTGAATAGATTTTCAGTAGATTTAGTGTTCTGTCTGTGGATCTTTTAAAAAATGGGTTAAATCAGTAAGTTTGTATACTGGCATGTTTTCCTGACTCTGGGATGCTTTGGTGCTTGGTCTTACCACAAATTATCAGTAGCATGTTTTCACGTAACAGGCGCTGCTCTTATTTGACATGGTTGATACCATGTAAGATGCATCCTCATTTCAGAGATGTTAAAATGTGTCTTAGAATTGTAGAAAATTGGCTATTTGGACACAATGCCTGCTACCATCATTTTCCCATTGATTGATTCTTTCTTGTATAGAGCCAAATTAGTTTATTGTTTCTCATGTATGTGTATTTAAGTGAATTTTTTTTTACCAAAAGCAATGTGTTTTTTTTGTGCGTGTGTGTAAGGAACATCAGCCCTGAGCTAACATCCATGCCAATCCACCTCTTTTTTGCTGAGGAAGACTGGCCCTGAGCTAACATCCGTGCCCATCTTCCTCCACTTTATGTGGGACGCCACCGCAGCATGACCTGACAAGCAGTGCATCAGTTCGCTCCCGGGATCTGAACCCGGGCCGCCAGCAGCGGAGCGAGCTCACTTAACCGCTACGCCACGGGGCCGGCCCCCCAAAAGGAATGTTTTTAAATTAAATTTCAAGCAGTTAGGGTAGTAGTATCTTAACCAGCAGTGTTCAAGCTGAAACACTAAACTCACATCTTTGTACCTCAGTGGATTCTTGCCCCAGGGATTCCATTAGCCATGTCTGAGCTCCATATACTTTTGAGTCCTCTTAGCAGAAAGGAAGCCCCAGATGGCAGACTGAAAATTTTTGGAACTGCAAGAACCTTCTGTTTTTTGCAGAACTAGTCTCTAAACCCAACAGTTTGTAGGCGCCAACTTAGAGAAGCTTTTCTCTATTTCTTTACCCACTTCTAACCTCTGCCTCCCCTCTCCCATGGGTTGCTAGGACTTTAACTAGCTTTGTTTATATTTTGTTTTACTTTATTAATGATCTAGTAGTGCTCATGTATTCCTTGGACACTGATTTTTTTTTCCCATTCACCGAAGGTAGTCATAATGTTTCATTTAAAAATGAAACCAATGAATTGATTTTTGTGAAGCAACCTGTTGAACATTTCCTTTCAGATTCTGGAAGAAGCAACTGAAGAGGAAACAGCACTTCATAATCGAATTATGCCTACTGTGGTTCGTCCTCCAAAACAACTGCTTCCTGAATCTACACCTGCAGGAAACCAAGAAATGGTGCGAAAACATTTTGAGCTAGATACTGTTGATGCTCACGTTTAATCTTCAGTGTGAAATGTTGCTAGAAGATGAAATCACATGTCCTTTATTTAACTCTCATGCAGATATGAATATTTTAACTGCATTTATCAGAAACTACACCTGGTGTGTTGCAGACATTCTTTGTAAAATATTGAGATTTAATTCTCAGTCTTGTTACTTTTCCTTCTATTTACTGAGCAGCTGAGTGCCTTGTGATTTAGCTACATGGTGACTCATCCTTTCAAATTGCATCCGTATTCCTAGAATTTAATAAAAAGAATATGTGAAAGGCTTTATTGTTAGATGACTTTTTAATATATTCCCTTTAGTTTATTTTAGTACTTAATATATTAATATTTTTAGGATAGCAGAATATTTGAAAATATTCAAGAATATACTTTTTAAAAATGGGCGGTGGTAGAGAAGCAGTCTTGAAACCTGACTTTCAAATAATGAAAGTCCCTTGCTATTTTCCAAATAATGTTTTGTGGATGTATAGGAAAAATTTTTTTTAAAAAATTTGAGTATGTTAACAGAGTTAATCTGTACTATTTCTTATTTCTTTTTGTTTTATTTTGTTTTCAGGAGCTGTTTGAACTTCCAGTAAGTGAAGAATGTTTCCTTGTTACCTAAGTGTATTTGTTTTCATTCTGAAAGAATAACGAACGCTTTGTGCATCTTTTGAAATCATGTAGGCTATTTATGAGATAGGAATTGTTCGCCAGTTCCCGTTTTCTTCCGATTTGCAACGTATGAGTGTGGTTGCAAGGGTGCTGGGGGATAGGAAAATGGATGCCTATGTGAAAGGAGCACCTGAGGTCATTGCCGGTCTCTGTAAACCTGAGACAGGTGAGGAAACAACCAGGCTTTGCATAAATTTTGGTATTTGTGTAAGCTTGTATTAGCAGGTCTCACAATGACTATTATTTTTTCCTTTTACAAAGTTCCTGTTGACTTTGAAAGTGTTTTAGAAGACTATACTAAACAGGGGTTCCGTGTGATTGCTCTTGCACACAGAAAATTGGAGGCAAAACTGACCTGGCATAAAGTACAGAATATTACCAGGTAAGGTTAATGAACCGTTTTTCTATAGTTTTTCCAGTAATGCATCATTTATGTTTCTGTAAGTCATGCACAATAATTTGTATGTAGTTGGGTATTTATTAAATATTTATTGAATGTATGCAAATATACACAATGCAATGTTTGTTTTAGGTATTGAGATAAAAGTACAACTCTTCAGAACTATTTTCAATTCATTCGTTAAATATTTATGAAGTGCCTGCTATGTGTCAGGCATGCTCTAGGAACACAAGTATGTTTTAGTAAACATAATTCTGCAGAAGTGTATTTTTCCCAAACGATCAACTTGCTTTTGCCCAGTGGTTGGAACCAAGTACTAATTTGGTCAGAGTATCATGAGTCACAATAACCAGTACCTGTCTCCCCTCCTCCCTAGTCAGATGGCATTACCAGCGTCACATTTAGTTCCATGTATAGCTACAGGGTTCATGTTCAAGGATTGTCACTTTTACTGTAACTGATATAGACCCAGACTTTAGGATAGGATTTTTGTTTAGGAATATTTCATGGTGTACCTAGCATTTTAAGCAGAAAGGACTATTTGTTGTTGTCCTGCTGATTCTGTCCAATAGCCTTCCCTTCCTCCATCCTTATTGCCATTGTTTCTAATTCAGGGACTCAGCTCTTTTCTCCAGTCTTCCCTCTCTGTAACCTGTGTTCCACACTGCCTCCAGAGAGAGCTTTTTAACATTCGGATCTAACACCTGTCTCCACCTGGAATTTTTACAAATGGCCCCCCATCAGCTGCTGGAGGAGTTCACAATCAGGGATGCACATCAGGAAAGAAACAAAACAAAACACATATTTGGTTAAAAAAAGGAAGCAAATGATACAAACAGATCAGTATTAGAAAAGGACATAACAAATGGCCAGTGAACACATGAAAACGATAGGACACTTCAGTTCTTGGAGAACTACAAAATAAAACCACCATGAGACGTCACGTCTCTCCTAAGGTTGGCAAAATTGAAAAGATTGGTATTACCAAGTGTTAGTGAGGTTTTGAGAAAATTTTGACAACATGTTGCTACTACACTATTGTAAATTCATGAAGATCTTATTTAGTACCTATCAACATTTAAATTTGCCTGTAGAATTTGACCCAGTAAGTGCAGTTCTAGGAATTCAACCCAAAGAAATCTTTCTGCGTGTGCATGAGGTTATATTTAAATACTGTAAATAACATAATACTCACCAATAGGGCAGTGGTTAAATTATGGGCTGTTAATACTTCTGTTAATTAATCCAGGCACACGAACTGAAAATGGTAGGACAGTGTTTATAATACAATCCTGTTTTTCTGAATGAGACCTAAAGGAGTGGAGAGGACAGCCAAATAACTAAAAGGAAAAACTACACTGGGAATTCGATCTATTAAAGCAGAATATTTGGGGATGTGGTCTGAGTATGAACATTTAAAAGAAAAAAGGTGATAACCAAATGATCTGATGCATGTGCTGATTGGGAGCCACTGACATAAAATATTACATCCAAATTCCTATGAAGGGCATATTAGGCTCCTTTTTCTACAGCTTCACCTTTGGCCATTTCCCCCCTTAAAGACTAATTGAATTGCCTATAGTTCTTGAGTCTGCCGTATTCAGACATGCTCTTGGATAGGCTGTTCCTTCTGCCTGGAATACCCTATCCATCCCTATCAACTTGTCTCTCTCTCTCTACTCTCCTTCCTCATCCTTCAGCCGAGACTGTCGGTGTGTCTCCATTCTACCTCGTAGGGACAGGTTTTGGAGTTTCTCTTACAGCTTGAACCTTTATATCTTGAACTGAGTATTGTACTTTTCATTAATTAGAGAGCAGAGTTCCGTGACCTGTATCATTTGTAGGAGAGTTAGGAAATCACCTGCAGCCGGAAACGTGTTAGTACCTCATAGGAGAGTGGCTGCAGTGCTTTTGAGCTAGTAGTTTCACATTGGTACAGCTTTGTGCTTCGAAATGCATTTTCAGGTTTCAAAGCTTGTTTATCCTCTTACTACCAGCAATATCATTTGTGTTAAGTTTCCTAACTAGTCTTTAATATCTTTACAACCCATTGTTAATAAATTTTATTTCAAAGATGTTTAGGTTTCATAGCCATATACTTCAAGCACCTTTATTGGCGAAGTTTTGTGTAGAAAAACCACTTGGTTACTGCAAGTCTGAAATTTTGGTCCCTAACCTCAAGCCCCCTTTCTCCATTGAGAAAAATATTTCTGTGATATAATTTTGGTAGCTTGAGATATAAGAATGCAGCTATCACTGAAGAGACTTCATCTCCGTTATTGTGCTGAAGCGCATATTATTTTCACATGCTCTCTTTGCATGTCTGTTTCCCCACAAAAGCATCTTGAGAGTAGAGATCATGCCTTTTTATCTTGGACCTTGCAAAGACTGGTGTAGTACTTGGTGCATAGTAGATACTCAACTATTTGAAGGAATAGCATCTTGATAACTATTGAATATTAATAAATATTCTAAAAGATCCATCTCAGGGTCCCAAGTAGATCCCATTGTTGGACTGCTAATACTTTTTGTATCACACTTCCAGGATCAAGAATTTGATCAAGAGTTTTCTAAAATTCATCAAAGACTTGATAATTAATCCAGTATAACTATATCAGATGGGCTTGTGGTAGTTTTTTCCTTTTCTCTTAACATTTAAATTAGGGTATGCTATATGGGGGATAGTAAAGAATTGATTTATTTATGCTTTTCATTTTGTGGGTAGGATACAAGATGAATATTCCTTACTAGAAGTATTTAGTGTCATAACAAAGTTATGCATTTCCAAATGATCCTTGTGTGTTTCCAAGGGAAAAATTTAATTCAAAACGTATTTCTTGGAAGTTGTTTTTCCAGATTTAAACTTTTCAAGATATTGAACTCATAAAGTTACACTTTTGTGGTTTATTCAGCATATAAAATGTTTTAATTTATAATTTATGACTTTTAAATTGTTTTATCAATATAGAATGAGCATACCTGTTCTCTTGACTAAACCATTATGTGTTAAAATTTCTTTTTCTGCAGAGATGCCATTGAAAACAGCATGGATTTCATGGGATTAATTATAATGCAGAACAAATTAAAGCAAGAAACCCCTGCAGTACTTGAAAATTTGCATAAAGCCAACATTCGCACTGTTATGGTCACAGGTTAGACTTTATAAAAGGACACAGAAAAAAGTAGAGTTCAAGTTATATAATATTGAGGAAAGATCCATTAGTTATACAAATATATTGTGTAGTGACTCTGTCCTATGTTGTCCTGTTTCAGCTCTGAACATTTTTCCAAAGTATAAGGTAACTTTGCAATACTCTTTTAAGGTATTTTTGCAAAGTTTGTAGATTTTTGCAAATCATTTGTAGATTTGTTTACTAGAATGTAAGATTCTTGAGGGTTAGGAGTGTTTTACTCATTTTGGGGTCTTCTGCAACTTTTAGAACTGTGCCAGAGCATGGAAAATGATTACTAGATGTTTGTTAGAGTTACATTTTTATATGTGATCGTTTATTATCATTGCTTGAATGTATAGTAGTGAACATAGCCACTTTTTGGTTTGTTTTTGTGTTTTGACTGTTAGATCTAAATGATTCTCCTGGTGTTAATTATACTGTTGATAATATTAGATAATTTCCATTCCTTAGCTATGTGAAATCATGGCAACACTTAAGTATTTTTTTCTTAGCAAATAATCAGATTTAAGATATTCATTTTATGGCATTTACATGTTCAGTAAGACTTATGTGGAAAAGGCCTGTGTGTATTTTTGTTTTAGACTCAGAGATCCATCTGATAGCATACTTATTACCATATAGCTCAAGTAACTAAATTTATTAGCATCCCAGCAATTCTTGATTCTAATGACTCCTCCTTCAAAGCACTTTCCATCTGTGTCCCTTCCCCCTCTTTCTCTGCCATGATAGACTCTGGCTTTGTGTCCCAAGGTGGTCTGTCTGGTCACAGGAAGACACCCTTGGAAATAGTTTGTGGGCATTGGGGAAGAAATAACATTGCCCTTCAGTTCTGGTAGCCATGGGCTCCCCAGACCTTTGCCTGTTTCTCCTGTAAGTTTATTTTTTCTTCTCTTGATCCTGTCCTTACAGGGCTTCTCCTCAGTTCTTTCCTCTCATGACTGAGAAGTTGTCTTCCTTCTCTGCTTCTTATAAAGATTGTATTTTTGTTACTTGGCTTATCTTTTTGTTTTGTGTGATCTTGCTTTTGTAATTCATTCTTTTTCCTGTGATATTACTCTAATATTCTTGTAGGGACCACCAGTCACTCCTAGGTTATTTCAACAGTGGTTTGTTGAGCATCTGCTCTGTATGTAGCTCTGTGCCTGGTGTTGAGTGGGTACTACTAGTGCACGACTTCAAAAGATTAAGAATGAATTTGGCTTTAAAAATTGTTGAGAATGTTCTAACTATTTAGCATATATGTGCCTGAATTTTTTGAGGCTTCCTTTGATAAGCACGTCCTGATTTTGTTATTTTTAAACTCCAAAAACGAGGACCATACATTATATTCATTTTGCCCAGCCTGGTCGTGGGGACTGTAGTAGATTCTCAATAAGTACTTGTTTCATACATTCATGTTTCCATTTTCATTTTAATGTATTTTCAATATTTTGCAAATTAGGTGACAACATGTTGACTGCTGTCTCTGTGGCCAGAGACTGTGGAATGATACTACCTCAGGATAAAGTTATTATTGCTGAAGCATTACCTCCAAGGGATGGGAAAGTTGCCAAGATAAATTGGCATTATGCAGACACCCTACCACAGTGCAGTAATTTATCAGCAATTGACTCGCAGGTAATGTCAAGATGAATTTTCCCTTTTGAAACTTGCTTGTTTGAATTTAGTCTGAAAAAATAAAAAATTGTTCATTAAAGCACAACAAAACAAAAAATAAATGAAAACAGAATACCAGGCCGTCTCCTCAGAAATTCTGATTCATTAGGACTGGGGTAAACCCAGGAATCTCAATGTTTAAATTTTGATATTTAGCCAAAGGTAAGAAGCACGGTTTTAAGATATAAGAATCCCAAATATTTATCCTATTTTAAAAGTATTGATAAATGATGCAAGTGGTCCATAATATTCAGTTCATGGATCATTTCAAATTGAAGTTGATGTTTAGCCTTCCTTAATTTTTTTTTTAAGTAAACATTATAGACAGATTACCTTAAAATTGAATTTCCTTTTACTTTCAATAAATGTTAAACCTTCAGTGTCTTGTGTAAAATATTGAATGAAAGAATTCAGTTTTGGATCAAACATTTAAAGTAGGATTGTGTTCCTTGGTCTGGTGCCTAAATATTCTTGTGAATGTCGCATACACAGGATATTCCAATGAAATTGGTCCATGATTGCTTAGAGGATTTTCAGGTGACTCGTTACCATTTTGCAATGAATGGAAAATCGTTTTCAGTGATACTGGAGCATTTTCAAGAACTTGTCCCTAAGGTTAGTGATTTGGGTTTATGTATGTGTTCATATGAATACATTCGAACAATATTTTAAAGAAATTCATATTTTTTCCAGTTGATGTTGCATGGCACCGTGTTTGCTCGTATGGCACCCGATCAGAAGACACAATTAGTAGAAGCATTGCAAAATGTAGAGTAAGTATTGGTGATGGTGTTTTTTTTTAACTTTTATGAATTGTAGTTTCATTTTCAAACCCAGAAAAGTAACTTAAAGTTATCACTTGTCTTATAGATGCCTTTTTAAAAGAGGCTTATGGGCTCATGGATTTAGTTCAAGTACAATAGCTACAATTCTTTTTTCAGGTAATATCTGTGAGATGTAGAGTTTATTCACTCAGCTTGATCGAAGCGACTATAGTTTTAGTAAAAAATTATGTTTCAAGTCTTTAAAGGAGAAATCTTTACTGATAGCCTTAAAGTGTTCTAAAGTAAGTGTTCTAAAGACTATAAAGGCCTAAGTCCTTTGCTCTAAAGATTAGGAAATTGAGATGCCAAAATGATAAACCGATTTGCCCATCTTGTGACAGAAAAAGGACAATAACCCAGGTCATTTGACTTGCAGGCTGGTGCTGTTTGCAAAGCAACATGCCTGTGGTCATTGTAATGATAAGATTCATTGGTTAAACTGGGGGAATCTTGGTCCTTTAGCTCTTTATAGTACTATATTGGATAAATCTTAAGTTCAATGTGTATTTTAAGAAATTAATCAAAATCTTAACATAATTTTTATTTCTTAGTTACTTTGTTGGAATGTGCGGTGATGGTGCAAATGATTGTGGTGTAAGTATAGTCTTTGTGATTTATAGTTCTTTCTCTAGTCTAAGTCATATTCACAAAACTTAACCAGTTTTCTTCTTCAAACATTAGGCTTTGAAGAAAGCACATGGAGGCATTTCCTTATCAGAGCTTGAGGCTTCAGTGGCATCTCCCTTTACCTCCAAAACTCCTAGTATTTCCTGCGTGCCAAACCTTATCAGGTAGTACAAATTGAAAAATTTCCTGTTATCTCTTTGTAGCTTGCTCTAATAATTTAGAAGAAAAATTATCATAGAAAGGATTATGAATTTGTTTAACGGTATGTTAGTATATTTGATCTGTAACTTACTGGCAGCACATTGCTTGCTACTCCTCATCTCTTCCAGTTCTGCTTTGGCTTAGTTCTCTTGGTAGAAAAGTGCTTTGTTGTAGCTGTTGAATGTTGATGTTCATCTGTCAAGATATAATTGTGGTTTGGAGGGGGAGGTTAAAATGCTTTTATTCACATGCCAACGTTTGTTTTCACAGGGAAGGCCGTGCTGCTTTAATGACTTCCTTCTGTGTGTTTAAGTTCATGGCCCTGTACAGCATCATACAGTACTTCAGTGTTACACTGCTGTATTCTGTGAGTACCGGCGTTCCTACAGGGATGCCACTGAGTGTGAAGAGATTTAAATTAAGATATTGAGCAGATATGTTTGATTTTGAGTTCATCCATTAATTACGGAACTTATATAAGTAGCATCTGTAAATTTTCCTTTAGTTTACTGTATTTTGAGTAGCAGATTGACAATCTCATTAATCTGGAATAGCATTTTTCTTAAGACCAACAACTGTGGCTGAAGCCTTGTGAATATAAGATGGTTGTATTCTTTTTTGCCTTTAGCGCAGATGAGACATCTTTCTTTTATAACTCTTCAAAATATCAGGCTGTGACACATCTCAGAATTGTAGTTAACTTTGCTATGCATTTGCAGGAAGGGCCCAGAATGAGAAAAGATTTTTGAGCAATGTTTATAGGACAATTATACATTTGGAGAAAAAGTGTAAACGGTCCTGTCCGTACATACTTCATTGGATTTTATAGTTGTAGGGATCTCACTTTAAATTCTCCTCTAAATGAACATTGGTGACATCCCAAGTATCAGGAAGGATGGTGTTATATATTAAGGAAGCTTCAAGATACTAATTTTTAAGAATGTTAAAGATTGTGAGTAAAAGTTTGTATTTTCGTTTTGCTTAAAAACTTTTAAAAGGTTTTCATTGAATGAATTTTTAGGAGATGACTTTTATACTAATATAGTAAACTGAATATTTGCAAATATATGTTATATTTTACTAATTTCAAAGGCAAACGTAGTTCAATTTTTAAGCAGGTCCAAGTATCATTTTAAAGTTGTCATTATTGGCGGGGGCGAAAAACTGAAACCAGAGTGAAAAGCCTAAAACCAGGGGGAAATGGTGTAAAAACAGTTACTGAAAACTAATTATGTTTTAAAAATTACTTCTGTAGATCTTAAGTAACCTAGGAGACTTCCAGTTCCTCTTCATTGATCTGGCCATCATTTTGGTAGTGGTATTTACAAGTGAGTATTTTGTTACTGATTTCAAAGCATATGAAATTCTGATGTGGCTTATTAAACTTTGTCAAATTTGCATCAAGAATTGTAACACAGTGCATACCTCTCCAGATTCCCTGTAAATGTTCTTTTATTACCAGCTGTTTATATTTTGCCCCATTTGTTTTATTGTTCTCTTTCTATTTTTTCCTGAAATATTTGAGAGTAAGTTTGCATTATCATGCCCTTTTGCCTCTGAATATTTTAGTATATATTGCCTAAAAACAAAGCCATTCTTTTATATAAATAAACACAGTTACAAAGATCAGGAAATTTAACATTGATGCATTGTTGTCTAACCCACAGCCCATGTTTAAGTTTTGTAATATTTCCCAATAATGTCCTTTATACCTATCTTTTCCCCTAGTCCAGGACCTAATCCAGGCTCATGGACTTGATTTAGTTATCACGTCTCTTTGGTCTTCTTTAATCCAGAATAGTACATCAGCCTTTCTTTGGGGCTTCTTGATGTTGACATTTGTGAAGAAAGTAGACCAGTTATACTGGTTTGTCTGATGTATTCTTATTAAACTCAGGCGATGAATTCTTGGCAGGAATATCACAGAAGTGATGCTGTTTCCTTCTAGGTACATGAGATAAGGAAACACAAGATGTTGGTTTGTTTCAGTATTGGTGATGTTAACATCAAAATAATTAATGATGGTAATGGGATATGACCCATTTAATCAAATAAAAATTAGTAAGTCCATACTGGAAATGAATAAATAAATAATTGGGAGAGAAGGGAAAGCTATTCCTTGTAGTAAAATACTAACTAATAAATATAGAAGGAATGATCGACTTAGACTGTGAAAAGACCCTGATCTTCGTGATATTTTAGGCCAGATAATTCTTTGTTGTGGGGGTACTGTCTGCATTGTAGGATGCTTACCAGCATCTCTGGCTTCCACCCTACTGGTTGCCAGTAACACTCCCCCAGTGTGACAACCAAAAATATCTCCAGACATTGCCAGATGTTCCCTGGGGGACAAAATTACATTGGTTGAGAGTGACTGAGTTAGACAGTCTTCAGTGGATGCTAAAACTAGTGAATGAAAGTTGGATGAGGAATAGGATTTTTACACAGTTTCAGTATCTTTTTATAAATTACTTATTTACAAAGAGAAAAATAAAAACTTTACAGTGGAGGAACTTGGTGGACACTACCTTAATAAGTGATAAAAGCCTTGTTTAATGTTACTGTTACGTTTATATAGCTTCAAACTTTTGGTAATGTCTTCTTAAGAGGAAGAAATATTTTAGTTGTAACTTTGCAGTTAAAGATTCAGAAGTAAATTCTTAGTTAAACGTATAAGGGTAGTGATTAATCTTACAGTTTTTATTTATTTATTTATGGTTTGTGAGGAAGATCAGCCCTGAGCTACCATCTGATGCCAGTCTTCCTCTTTTTTTTTTTTGGTTTTTTTTTTGCTGAGGAAGGTTGGCCCTGAGCTAACATCCATGCCCATCTTCCTCCACTTTATATGGGACGCCGACCACAGCATGGCTTTGACAAGCGGTGCATTGGTCTGTGCCCGGGATCTGAACCTGCGGACCCCGGTCCGCCGAAGTGGAGCGTGCGCACTTAACCACCCGGCCGGCCCCAGTCTTATAGTTTATATGCTTATATTTCATATTCTTTTTACTTGGACTGTGTTTTCTCTGAATTTCAACAGACTAATGTAAGAAGTACTCCTGAGGCCTTTTTGGAAAAGCCTAAATTGTTTGCTTTTACAGATTATTTAAATATGTGTGACATCTGGCTTGGATTTTGGCCTTTTTTTTTTTTTTTTTTTTTTGGAGGAAGATCAGCCCTGAGCTAACATCCATGCCAATCCTCCTCTTTTTGCTGAGGAAGACTGGCCCTGGGCTAACATCTGTGCCCATCTTCCTCCACTTGATATGGGACGCCGCCACAGCATGGCCTGAGAAGCAGTGCATTGGTGTGTGCCAAGGTTCCGAACCCGGGCTGCCAGCAGCGGAGCGTGAGCACTTAACCGCTATGCCACAGGGCCGGCCCCTGGCCATTTTGCATATTAAAGATTCATTAGACAACTTTTTTAAGTTCATAAGTGAATATGATTATGTATTTTTTAGTGACAAATTAATTTAGATACAAACCTTTCCTCTTTTTCTTCTCAATATAGTGAGTTTAAATCCTGCCTGGAAGGAACTTGTGGCACAAAGACCACCTTCAGGTCTTATATCTGGGGCCCTTCTCTTCTCCGTTTTGTCTCAGATCCTCATCTGCATTGGATTTCAATCTTTGGGTTTTTTTTGGGTCAAGAAGCAATCTTGGTATGAAGTATGGCATCCACAATCAGAGTAAGTTGGTCAATTTATTTTAAAGTCTGTGTAAAGTGTGTGTAACATATATGCATGTAAAATAAGTCCAAGAATTTATATAGAAGTTTGCATGCAGCTTGATGAGACACTTAAAAAATTTGGCCTGTGTTTGAGTTTATATTGTGCTAATTCCTTCTACCTGTAGGAAGATGGTCAGGCAGGGTCCTAATAATCACTACCAAGATGGGGACATTGGACTGGTTTCTTACTTTGCTCCTGAGCCTTGCTTTCCTAATTTGTCAAATGAGAAAGTTGAAATTAATTGCTCGAGTCTCTTCTAAACCCAATATGTTTGTGCTTCTAACTTTTCTACCCCCAGTTTAGGAAATGACATTTTAAAACCTAAATAATTTAAAAATGTACTAAGTGCTTCTCCTATTTTTTAATTAATTAAATATATAATCTATTTACTAAGGTAATTTTGTAGAATTAAATTTTCAGATGCAAACATTTATTTTTAGTTGGCTTGATTGAGGAAGATTGTCTTTCAAAGTTTTAGAATACTTTAAGAAATTTAACATTGCTGTTTGCTTATATGTACATATGAACACTGCACCTGAAAAGGAATAGATGGAATTGTTTTCAAGAATCTTTCCAGAGTTCACTTGTAGCAAAGTAACATTTTGTTACCACTTGCCTGTGCTTATTGTAGTTGATGTTTTAGTAACGGCTATTGGGCACTTCTCCGTCCTATGCGTGTTTGACAGTCCTGCCCACCTGGAGGTAGACGGGAGAGCCATAGCTGGAGAATGTTGAGGGCCGTCTGAGTGCCAAGTGCTTTGCTAGGCAGTTATTTACACAAGTTGTCTTACTCATTCCTCACAGGAACCCTGTGATGGAGCAGGTGGTATCCACTTAAGGGTCAGGACATGGGCTCGGAAATTAAATAATATTTCCTCAGTGATAGCCAAAAAGTGGTAGAGCTAAGGTCAAACCCACAGTCTGTTTATCTTTACTATGCTAAAATTACTCCCAAAATTAAAAAAGTGAGGGGGGGTTTATTAAACGTGAGAGGGGCTCACTAATTAATGAATTTTCTTCCAGTTTTTTAACTGATTGGAATACGACCAGAGAGAAGAAAACCCTTCTGCTCTTCTGCCTGTTCTGTGTCTTAACCTTGATATTGTTGGATCTCGGGCTGTGAACGGCACCTTATTTCTCTCTATGTTATGATAGTGATTCAAGGCAGTTAAGGTAAAATTGGTTTCTTATGGGAAATGGGAGTAACGTGAATTTTTTGTGTGTGTTTTAGTGCTTGTAATACAACAAGAAGTCTACAGTGGAATTCTTCACATTCGTACAATGAAACTGAACCTGATTCACGTAATATACAAAATTATGAAAATACCACAGTGTTTTTTATCTCCAGTTTTCAGTACCTCGTAGTGGCAATTGTCTTTTCAAAAGGAAAACCCTTCAGGCAACCTTGCTACAAGAATTGTAAGTTTGGCATTTATTGTGATTTCCATCCTGCTTCCCTTCTTTAAAAACAATGTAAGAAGAATAGCATTAAAACTGTCCTTTCAAAGAAAAACAGATCATCACAAATAGAATGAAGCTAGTTATTTAGCTAGTGATTTAGATGTTTACTGTTTTGTTTCATTCTCATGATAGCTGCCACCCTAAGTTTAAAATGAAAGCCACCAGTTCTGAACAGTCCTGGTTTTCACATCCTATTACTTCTGGCTCCAACTTTTATTTTTACAACCCATTGCAGAGAGAGTTAGAATGAGAAGCAGGAACAGAGGTTCCTCAGTTGGAACAGTGGTATTATACTTTCCTTCTGGGTGGTCTGCACAGCACCAGCTGTCTTTCCTTCATTTTTGACACTGGTACAACCAGTATTCACCTGGAATTCTTCATTTCTGTCAGTTTTGCATCCACTGCAGAAGGAGCCAGTAGAATGGAGGCTTGTGCCTATGTAGATTGTCTGCCTATGGCAGTAGGAGATTGCATTTGGATTGATCAAAATTAAAGTTTATGGAAAAAAATCAGTTACTATATATATACATTGCCAGTTTTTAAAAAAATTGAGAATATACTAATTAATATATCAGAACAACTTAATTTTTTTTTCATGTAGAACTTTAGACTTTTGCGGTATCTCGGAATGACTAGTAGTTATTCTTTTGCTGTAGTTGTTAAGAAATGCTAGTGTTCTGGTTGGCAAATGTCAGGTCACAGATTTTGATCTGTCATAGGAGTAACTACTATCAGCATCTCTGTCTCATGTTCGAGTTTACAAAGCGTTTCTCATACATTATCTTATTTATTCTTTAGTTCTCCTCTACGTGGTTTGTAGGTTTTATTACTTTATATTTTGGGCAGGTAAGACTGTTGAAATATATGTATCAATAATATTGAAATCTGTTTTTACTTTTTTTTTTTAAGAACTGATATTTCCTAACAAGTAGAAACTATATTACTGAGAACCATATTAGAACCATACTGTGGGACAAAAAGCCTTCCATAGAAGGTTTATCAGTATACTTCTAAGAGGACTTCATAACTAAAGTTAACTTATTATAAAATGAACTTAATAATTAAAGTTGATATACATGTTTTATTTTTAGTTCAATGTTTTTAAATTTCAAGGAAATATTGAACATGCCCAAGGGTAGCTAAAATATCTAGCAAAGAACAATACTTTCTTTATATAAAGAAAACTGGTGTTCAGACTGGTTGGTAAGCAGGTGCTTTGCTAGGACCTGCTAGTTGCTGCTCTCTGTATCTAAACAGTGTAATGTACTACATCTATCTACCCGCATCAGAAAAGTTAATTTTAGAGATCTAAGTAAACCCACCCTATCCATACTTCTCCAACTGAAAAAAAAGAAAGAGAGAGAGGCTATTAGTTGCCTATTTTTTAAATGCATCTTTTATATTATTTGGAAAACTTCAAAAAAATTAAAGGCGTAAGGTATTTTATATTCCCATTTAATTTCAAATTGGCTTGAATAATTAATAAACTCGCTTGTTGACCACTAGACTATTTTTTTAAAACGTGTATTAAAAATTATATTTTCGCAGAAATACAGCCACAAAACCTTTGTCTTTACTATAAGCAGCTTGTGCATGTCTGTCAGTGGATAAACAGAAGTGCATGCTGTCATAAAATATGCCTCCCGAAAAATACAATAGGAGCAGTAAAGTCAACATACACGTATTTTGCTAATTTTCACATCTCATTGTCTGTCTTTTGAGTCCGCTGATCTTGGAATATAGTTGTTACTGATGAGTAAAGAAATAAAAATAGAAAATAAGAAAAGACAGAAATAAAGTACAACTGTATAAAGTAATATACAGTGTAAAGTATAAATATAGATGGAAATGAATGGGGAAAGGTTAAGGCTTCAGTAGAGCTGATGTTAGCTTTTCGTTTTCTTCTACAGAATAGACAGTTAACTATTCTTTGCTAGGACCTGCTAGTTGCTGTTCTCTATAGATAAACAGTGTAATGTATTAGATCCATCTTGAGATTATTATTTTTAAAAATTAATCTCAATCTTAGGCATTTAAGGCATTCTCTTCAGAGTTTTTTGCTCTCTTCTGGTTCAATCTGATTCTAAATAAAACCTAATTTCAGTCTGTGGTTACCCATTTTCAGCTTTAGTTCAGCCCAGTTACATTTTCTCGTTTGACTATGCTATCATTTCAAGGGCTGTGATGATATGGACTTAATTCTTACACTCTGATTTAACTGGATGTGATTTCTGAGATTTGGCTTCAGTTTTTGCTACAATTTCTTACTTGATCCGTGCAGTTTACTGCTTGTGAAATCCAAGTCCTCTCAGTCTCTGAAGGCATTACTGAACTGCCGGTATTTTGGGCATGTGTGTCTCTTCCCTGTTCATCTGCCAGCCTGAATTGGTTGAAGCAGATATGTAGAGGCCCTGCAGGATAAGGTGGCCTTTTAAAGATAAATAACTGAGTAAGGAAGGGGGGCTAGGAATAAAAAGACTTGAAATTTGTGGTTATAGTTTGAAAGACCCCAGTTAGTTTTTTTTTTTTTGGTGAAGAAGATTGTCCCTGAGCTAACATCTGTTGCCACTCTTCCTCTTTTTGCTTGAGGAAGATTGTCCCTGAGCTAACGTGTGTGCCCATCTTCCTCTGTTTTGTATATGGGACACCTCCACAGCATGGCTTGATGAGCTGTGTGTAGGTCCACACCTGGGATCTGAACCTGCGAACCCTGGGCCGCCAAAGCGGAGCGTGCAAACCTAACCACTGTGCCACTGAGGCAGCCCCCGCAGTTAGTAATTTTTGAGGAAGGCACAAGAGAGGCATATATCAGTGCCATACATGAGTGCTGTGGGTTTATTTACTCTATGTAAGGTTTTATTTTTGAGTCACTTAACTAAGGGGAATATGAAGGAAATCCTTTATGGTACCTTATTTTGATGCCATGCTCCATCAAAAGGATCTGATACCATTAACAACAAATCTGTGATGCCATAAGCTGGGACATGTTTTAATAATAACTTGAATTTACATGTTGCTTTGTATTTTAAGTACTTAAATCTACTCTTTTCTCCTAGATCCTCATCATATCCCCATTATATAGTTAAAATAATTTGACTCTGAATGATTTATTCATATTCACATAGCTTTGTGACAGAATCTAAAACAGAATCTAAATCTTTAACTTTAGGAACATTCTTCCCCTAGCCCCCAAGCACCACCAAGACAGCATTTGTTTTGATAGCTGTTTGAGGGTGAAGGGTGTTACCTGCACCTCAGTAGGATTACTAAGGAATCACCGACAATGCCAGGAGAACCCAGGAGCTGAGAGCAGTCTCCTAGAAACTGACACCTCTCTAGCATCAGGAACTGATTTTTCCATTCTTGGTTCAAATCCTTATTGATCTTTTCATTTTGATGATTATATAAATCTGCCAGCCATCCACCTCCCCTGTCAAATTCTTTTGAATATTGTCCCTTTTTCTCCCCTGGCTAAACAAAGGAAAGATTCAATTATGTATTTTCTCCTCATGGAAATCTTGGCAGATCTTTAGAGGCATGATCCTTAAGGGGGTGGCTCTAGGAGAAAGATGAAAATTTGAGAAACACTGTTGAGGTAGGTGTAAGAGGTTTCTGAGTCTGAGTAAATTTTTTTTTTTCCTGGCAACATGTCAGGAACTAGATTGCAAATCTATTTTTGCTTATAGTTGTAAAAATGCAGTAGGATTTGAATATGCAAATCCTATTGTATTTCAGATTCATTTCTTCATTCAATATTGGCTATTACTTTATTGAAACAAAACTTTTCTGTCTCCATGTCTCTCTTTAGCATTTATATTCTGACCATTTCATTTTGTCCTTTTTCTGATTTTTTTTAATCTTTTCTCGTTTGTGTATTTCCAACTAGCACTTTCCAAACGCTTCTTTTTAAACTGACCATAATAACTATTTGAATAACTATACAACTTATGTATTACTTTAGTTGCTGTATTTATTGAATAGAATGTTATGTTTCCTATTTGCAATTTAGCAGAATGTTTTAAAAATAAAAATCTAGAAAAAATTGCTTTTTTATCTAATATAGATCTCAAATTTTTCATCCTGTTGGTCAGTGGCTCATAGTAAAAAAGTTTTCTCTCTTTTGGCGTGAAATGTTAGTATAACTCAACTTAATGCTAGTAGAACAGTAAACATATATTAATGTATATAAAACAATAAGTATATATATAAAACATAATATTTGTTTCTATAGAACAATAAATATTGGCTTATAGTTTTGAACTGACATATTAACAAAGTTGATATTTACAAATGACTCCCACATTTAAAAATAGTACTGAGGCCCATCATTTACAGTCCATAAAGTAGTATAGTAACTTCCTTACCGAATCTGAAGGTTTCATAATAGAGTTTTTGTCATATGTGGTATTAGTAAAGTTTGAGTTTAAAGCTGACCTCAGATAGGAACTTGTAAATAAATATCTAGACCAAAGGAAAACGGGGAAAAAGTTGGGGGCTATTAATATAATTGGGAAATATGTGAGCCTGTCTTACAGCTCCTCGTATAGGGCATGCTTGTACACGTGCAAGTGTATGCGTGTATCTACACAGTTTACAAAATGGCCATGAGCAAGGAGTTTTATTTTTGAGTTAGGAAGGTGATAACAAAGTACAGCTGGGCAAAATTTACCATTCCTAGCTACCACAGCAAGTCCCAGGGTTAGTCTACATTTAAAATAGTAAATCAACTAGTTTCTGGGCTTTAGCTAAGTTTTCTGTGGAAATATTTTCATGGAAGAAGTCAATGAAAAAGTGGGATTCACTTAACAGAAATATGCTTACATTCAACTTAGAATGCCTCTATTTAGGATTATAACATACCTAATACTGAGAATAAGTGTTATTCAGCATTTTTACAATCCACAGTAATTGTCCTTGCATACATGTTTTCAATGATAATCTCATTTTGCCATACCTAGTCTAGTTTCCTATTTGTGAATTATATATTGGCTTGATTATCTTATAAAGTCACTGTCTGGGACAGATACAAATAAATGTCTGTAAAGGTCTGTCTCTTATTTTTATAAATGCTGATTATTTTGACATCACATAAATGAATCCTTTGGGTGTGAATGATGTATGATACACTAGGAAATAACATAGAGCACATACTTTATATACTTCCTCAATCTAAACAGAAGATTCAAAGCCAAATTTAGGATTGACAGTATACTAGTTATTGTATGCCTTTTTATTTAAAGGAACTTCCTAATTCAATTGTTTTACTTTCTTTTTCAGATTTTTTTGTTGTGTCTTTGATTATTTTGTATGTTTTCATATTATTCATCATGTTGCATCCAGTTGCCTTTATTGACCAGGTTCTTCAGGTAAGGCTCCAGCACGTCGATCATCCCTGTTTTTCTGAGGAGTGATAGTGTCTGGGGTAGCAGTAGTAAGAAGTAATAGAAATGACGCATTAGTGTTATATGAAGTTTACACAGCTGAGTGAGACTTCTGCATGTTTGCTGGGGCTTGCGATCTGTCTCCCTCTTCTGCTCTTAGGAAAGAGGAGAAAGAGACTAAACTGTCTGCGTGTCTTTTTTCTAGGATCTCTTCAATTTTCTTTTTTTTTTTTTTTAATTTTATTTATTTATTTATTTTTCCCCCCAAAGCCCCAGTAGATAGTTGTATGTCATAG